AAAGAATGAAACGCATGTACAAAAACTTCATTAGAAACTTGACATGATCTCATTCATATTTCTATCAACATCTTGGAGACTAGTCCACGTCACAGTATCATCTTCTTTCTCAATAAACAAAGAAAACTATACATAAAACATGATTCCTATTCATTAGAATATTAAGATGATAGAAATCTTTTATACTTTTAATCACTTTAACACACCGAGTGATTGTGGAATGACTAGTTGAGTTGACAGTTGAATAGATTACGAATAATTGAGCATGAACGCGTTTCTTGTCACTATCATTCTAAAATATATAAAATGAATACTTATCTACAATATAATTATGGAGAAAAGCCTAAAAATTCTTCAAGAATAGTCATACATAATGCGTGAACAGACTATTTAACCATATTAAGAAAGTAAAAATAATGTTATCATAAAAACGATTTGGAAAGAAGAGAACTAACACAATAACGTGATTTTAAGAGAAAAAAAAGCAATCACGCCGTTGATATAAGCTGTACACAGCGAGAAAGAGAAAATCGTTATAAGTAAATAGTTGAAAATCGTGGGAAGATAATATTGACACTGTTTATTTAGTGACTACTGTACAAGGTCAAATAATAAAGCGAGTGTATAACTAGACATCACTATGTATGTGATATATTTAACCTATTTTCTCGATCGAGATATGATTAATATATTCTTTCGTCGCTTTTAACCTGAACTTGTCACGATATATAAATATCCGCTAGCTATATGTGAAAGTCGTTTTTGACTTTCAAGTCAAAATCGACTACTTTGACAAAACAACATATTACGCAAATACCACAGACATTGTAAAAATTGTCCTTAGTCCTCTCTGAAAGAAAAAAAGGCGTTTTGCAGAACCTTTTTGAGGGTTCTGCTATCGGGTAAAATTCAGAGCCCTTGAAAATGATTCTGACTGAAAAAGGGGTTCTGTGAAAACTTCAAAAAACTACTTTTAATTTGTATTACATTTGGGTGTGGGTGTGACTGTGAGTGGATGTGTGTGGGTGTGGGGTGTGGGCATGTAGTCTGATTGGCGAAATGCATAACGCCCACACCCTCATTTTAAACGATTTGATCATGATGTAAAACTTAACTCAACTCGTAAAATCAATGTGGTTATAGCTTATCCGGAAACAATTACACTTGATTGTTATTTTGATGAAACTACTCGACAATCAAACAAAGAAAATGAAGATTATAGTTTCATTTATAAATTGAATAGTGTAATTGTACATCTAGATGAATATGTAACTAATTGTCATGTGTTTGCTTATGTACGTGCTCCTGATGGATATTGGTATAAAGCAGATGATGAACTAGTTACACCAGTTCATTTAGATTCAGTACTTAATCATAAGGATGTTTATATACTATGTTATGTTAAAATGCCACAGAATTCAATATATTTATCGGATGATGAGCCGATATCTTCTCCAATACAGTCATTTTCAATTTTAATTTCATCAACGCCAACAGTTTCATATAAATATTTTCATAAAGCTCCTGATATTCATGAAGATGTGCGTAAAATATTTTCTTTCATTAGTATTTGTAGTATCTTTAATATCTTATATAGGAAATTTCACTATCAGAAGAAGAATCTATTCCTTCGAATAACTCCACGGATATTGTTTCGATTAATGATAATTCTTTAGCTGATACAAACGCTTCCAATTTAAATGATGGTACCTTTGATTTAATTTGTCTCATTTGTTTTTCTATTCAGACATATTTTCAGATAATTCTTTGATACAGCAGCACTCAATGCAACCTGAATCGATGATTTTATCAACATCAATAGACACTTGAAGTAAGTAAATCGAACTTTTTATTTTTCGGAAAGTGATAGAAACAAAAAATGATACAAGAATCTAAAGATAAGTTCAAAATTTGTAAATCTGTTCACATCCCATGTAACCATACAATGCATTTCAGACGCGTTTAAACGCATCTCCGATTAAAACAGACTCCAAACGCACTGAAATGCGTCTATAGTACTAGTGCCTAAACGCGTTTATTAAATGAGACTCATTCAAACAGGTTTAGATTAGTTATTGGACGCGTTTCAACTTGGACAATTTCGGTTTTGTATTCAGATGCGTTCATAATTTCCACCATAGTTAAACTGAACGCGATCGAACGCTGCCTATCGACAACATGCAAGTACATGCGTTGATTCTATACGCTTCTTGATGCTCTTGAATTCCACTTATGCGTCTAAATGTGGTCCGATTCTTTCTTTCGCATAGATAAGTTGCGTTTAAGCATATTTCTAGCTATATGTGCATACAATGCCATCTACAGTGCAGCCTATATTATCAGAATTGATATTAATAGACCTCATATTGTGAACAAGGCTACACGATTTTCATTGTAAAGGAGTATGAGAATTCTCTAATAAGTTATTAAGACGATGTACTAAAGCCTTATTGCATTTAGCATTCTTTAAAATGACTACTCCTGATAATCTATAATTTTAAATGTAACCTACTAGTGTTGCATGAAATATTGTAAGCACACAGCTATACGCCGGAAAACTTCAGAACGTCTGGGTCCATCTTACAAATTCACGAGGATGTAATTAGTCTGAAGTAGAAATAAATGACGATAGAATAGAACTAAACATTCTATAATGCAAACTACCTCTTCTTATCGAATTAAGAATGATTTGACGATGTTCTTTTTTACTGCTCGTGTAAGCATTTTTAGACTTTTACATGTCTCTGAGCGCTTATTATCAATTCAATTGACGCGTTTGAACGCGTTTAAAAAACCATATACATCTAAACTCGTCCATGTTGAAGATACATTACGATTCGTTTTCTGGTAATCATGTATGGGCGTTTTAACTTTATTTCCTAAAAAATTATAAAATTCCGATCACTGTATGTCGCTGTAGAGCTGGATTCTGGCATTCATGTTTCATTGCTATCATGAAGCTTTAACGAAGTTGTGCTAGCTGTAATGAATTAACTAAGTTACATGAGTATCTCTGTCATATTCACTGTTTACTTACACATTATTTATTGAAAATATTGAACTGTTGACAAAACTGTATGCTTTATTCTACCGCATTTCCAAAACGGTTTAATAATGTGTAAGCGATCTACTGTAATCTTAATACTTTAATTGTTAAGTTCATCATCTATTTTCGATATCAAAAAAATAATTCCTATGAATGCTATTTTTTGATTTCCAACTATTTGATTTTATCTAAACGTCAGCAAAGCAAATTTTTCAAATGGAAATGTTAGATTATCTTCTTGCTTCTTCATAATAAAGAATGGGTCTAGATGGAACTTTTACGTTTTATGAGATTAAGATAAATAAAAATAAGAAAATCTTCATTATTTCAAAAAATAAAGATAAGTAATTTTTTAAGGTATAAAAAAACTATAAATGAATACTTTATTTGTAAAAAATCACGGAAATCAAATAATAATTTTTTCTATGACGACTTAATCTTCTATTTTCTCTAGTACTTCTTACTAAATCTTTTTGTTTTTCTTTCTGTTCCCGATAGGATTTAGCTTCTCCAGATCATTGTGTAAATTCTTTTTCTTTCCTAAATTTCTTCTATTCGTGTTTCTTTTTTTTCTAATTCAAACTACAACAAATAAACCATCGATTAAAATTAATAAAAAGAAATAAAATATAATCCATTTTCTTCATGATATGGCACCATTATTTCTTTAAGTTTTCCAGTTTGTACATCACTCATTCATTTTTTTCGTTTGTGTTTATCCCAAACAGTTTTCATCTAGAAATAAATTGTTTGCTTACATCAAAACTTATTTTAACAGAAACCATCATGAGAAAAAATGAATAATTCATTAAATAAAACAAGTTATGTCTTCATGTCTATTTAATTGCAGGAAGTAGATGATGATAATATTAAAGAGAAGATCGATCAGCATTAAATAAAATTGATTATGATCAAAAACATTATTTTTGTTTTTATTACAATCTTGATGACAATCTATTATGCGACTTCTTTAAACTTAAAAAAGAAAAGACAAAGAAAAACTCAAAAACATTAGATGAGATAAATAATTAAATGATGAAAAAAATCTCATACAAGACTATTGAGTTGAGAGATAATAAAAAAATTCTGACTTTGAAAGAGGTATTGCAACAAACAAGCAAACTATTCTCTAAAAAAGAGGCATCATACGGAATCTTTTTTAGTTCCATTAAAAAAAAAGAAAAAAGAAGGACTTGAAAAGTATTGAATGAGACAATGTGGAATTTAAAGAAGTTCTAAAATTCTTCGCAGCAAGTTGAAACGGTTTAGAAATGGTACCGAAATCTAGAAACCTAAAAGATTGAGTATATGCCTATGTTTTTAAATAGCAAGAGAAAACAAAGATAAACAATAATAAAAGAGCAAAAACAAGCTAGCAGTAACATGTTGCTATCTATTATTGTTAACATTAATGCACATTCATTAGAGTGAACTTGTCGGAAAGATTGTCTCTATCTTTCGGTCCAACTTTTCTTTGTCTAAGATTAACCAAATACATGAATATGGAAGGAAAAAGTTCATTGAAAAAAGTTTTTCATTAACTCAATTCAATCTTAATTACTTGAAATACTATTGGCATAGAATTTCTGATTATTTATTTTACTTTCATAAGTTTGAATCTTTTATTAAATCTAGCTTAGGTTTTCTTTTCTTTTTACGAATTTCATAGTAATATTTATCACATATAGATTGAGAATGTTTCACTCAAATGATCTTCTGAATAATAATCTGTTGACAAGTGTCTGACATCAGATTAGATTTTTATTTTTGTTTATTTTCTCGTCAAATATTTTTTGTAACAAGACATGATGTGAAATTTTTCAAAAACATGAACTAATTTAATTTCTTATGAGAAAATTTCTTGAATAAATAAGATGAGTTCGATGAGAAAAATTTGTCTAGAATTAGTCTATAATGTTGAATAGGTTTTGTCACTTTGTTTTGTTCATCATCGTCAATCATCTGGTTGCGGTTGAAGTACGAGCGGATGTTCATGTCCTTTCTTCTCACATGCTGAACAAAGATCATAATTGCCACAGGTAGGACAAACATATCTTCGACCAATAAGAGGAGCCATCTTACATCCGTCACATCTCACATACGACCATTCATATTCATCTGGAGGAGGACGAGGTAATTTTTCACCTAGTGACCATGTTTCTAGAGCTTTAACACCAAATTTTGTAACATGATCACGACCATTACGTGATAAAATTGTTCCATCGGATGATACAACAATCAATGATGGAATACCTTTTACATAAAAAGGAAAATATGAACTGATAAATAAATTTTCATAGAAGTAATTCTTACCAGAAAATTGAAAGTATGCCATAAAAACTGCACCTGAATTCATTGGAGCTGCAGGCCAAGGCATTTCTGATCGATAACTATTGAATGATTCTTGATCGCTATCACATGATACAAATATAACATGAAAAGGATGAGAATTCATTTGGACTTTTTTATAAATTTCAGCTAGTTCTGGTGTGAACACGCGACAAGGTGGACACCAATGAGCCGAAAAATAAAACCCAACACTTTTAATATCATTTTTCAACATTGTTTTTGTTTCAATTTTTTCTTCCTTTTTAGGATCAAGTAAATAAGGTATCGATGATAAAAGTGTTTCTAATGAATATTTTCGGTTCGGAACGAGATATTCAATGAGAGGATGTTCATGTTTATTTTTCGATAAACATGTTTCACATAAATCAATTTGACACTCTCGATCTGTACAACCATGTCGTGAACCAACTAAAGGCTTCATAAAACATTCAGTACAACTAGTATCTTTCCATACATATTCATTGTCATGTGGTTCACGAGTCCAAAATAAGCATTTTCCTTGGGACCATTTATGTAAAGCTTCGTTTGAATCACCGTCTATTTCACTGACACCATCCAAAGTTATTATTTCAAGCGATGGAGAGAGAACAACTAAACATGGAATGCCACCGACGTTGAATTTTTCACCCAATTTCTGCGAATAATCACTATCTAAATTCAATTATTTTTTTTTTGTCTTCCTAATCAAATAAAAAAAAACAAAAAGACATACCAGAGAAAGGTAATGCTTTCCATGGCATTTCTTTGAAATATTCATTAAAACCTTCTTGATTACGATCACATGAAACGAAAACAATATCTAATTTGTTTTTTATTTCGTCATTAACTTCATTGAATGCTTTTGCTAATCTTGGTGTAAAATTTCGACAAGGTGAACACCAATGAGCTCTATAAAAGAAAAATGATTATTTCATTTTTAAAATTATGCACAATAAACAAACGAAAAATAAAGTGCCAGAGTTTTTCCAACAAGTTGACTTGTTGATATTAAACTTGTTTCATCACCAGATTCATTGTGTTGAACGAGATTTTCTCCTAATAATTCATTTAGTTTTGTTGCCATAGTTTTTCTTCTTTTGAATATATATATTTAATGTACAAAATATCCAATCGCCTCGTTATATAAAAGAAATAAAAATATAAATGTATGAGGCTTTTGTTGTTCTTTTATGAAATACGTATATGATATATTATGAGCCGTTTTTCTTTTTGCTTTGCCTACGCATTTATTCATCCTTGTTCTTGTTATTTGTCTAACTAGACAAGCATATTGTTTTATAAATCATATCAAGGTAAACTATCATTACCATATATGGAAAGTGATGGTTATTCACAACTATTATTTACGTATCGATATTATTTCTTAAAATATTAAATATTTCTTTTAATGTATAATAATATTATATAAAACTTCTGTTAATGAATTGAAAAATTTTATAGTAATTGCAATCAGATATCTTTCTCTATTTTGTTGATATTGTGCATTTAGTATCACATCAAATTGATGAATTATTGTTAAAGTTCTAATATCAAGCGACAATATCAGTATTTGATCGTGATAAATTATGTTCAATATTCTGATCGACATTTCATATTTACACAACAAGTTTTTGTATATCGTTAGACACATTATATATCAATGTAAAAATGTATCTATACAACATGTCATTTTTCCTTTCATTAACTGAATTCTAGGAAAAAAAAACCTAATTAGACGACATATCAAAACTTCACCTGTAAATTCATCATTTCATTTCTTCTAGTTTTTAAGAGATAATTCTATTAATTAGAGTTCAATATAAAACAAGACAAATATGCTTCATGTAAAGTTTTCTTTTTTATATAAAAAGACGTTGTTCAACATAGATGAAATATACTATGAAATCAATAATGAAAGAAAATAAAATAATATTATTCCATTCTAATCTATAAGTGACTGCATAGATTTTACCGATAATCATATACAAAAAAAAACAATCCATGGAGATAAACTAATGAACAAAAAATGCAATTCTATTTACTACGACGAAAGTCATCCAGTGCTTTTATTTTCTCGAATAAGCAATAATGTATCATTTTATTTCATTGGATGTCTTTAATCAGTTCACTATGCACGAAATCAAAGTATGAAAGTGGCATTCTACTTAATTATCAATACAGCTTATGAATAAACTATTGTCAATATCTAATGATCAACGTTGAAAACAATTTCTAAACCAAAAATCTTATCCATTTTTTTCTAACTGCTTAACTAATTTTTTTTAAAATTATTTTTAAAATCTATTTATTATTGAAAAATCAATAAACGTATTTAATCAGGCAAACAAAGTTGACCAATAATGCTTTTCGAATTGTCTGAAATAGTGTAAGTGAATAGAAATATATTTGAAAAAAAATTTCTCAGATCGAACGATAATTTGTCTTGGTTACTTCCCATAAGTTGTCATTTTGATGAAATCTTTTACACTTAAATAAGTCATTTAGATGATCCTTTATAAGAATATTTGATAAATAGTTTGTTGTTTTTAATTTTATTAACATGTTTAAATTAATAAAAAATTAAATAAACATATTCTATTTTGTATTAGTTCTCATAAGGAAGACATTATTTTATTTATGTAAAACTAGAAGTCGAATTATGAAGAAAAAAATTCAAGTAAAAATAAAGTTAAATAAAATATATGATTTCTATATTCTATATTCTATAGAAAAGAATACAATCATCAATAAAAATATTTCAAGAAAATATTTTTATCTATATTCGATACAATCGATTGTATGACACTTGAATTTCATCATGAAGAACACCCTCTGTTATCATTAGAAGAATAATATTAAACTACATCAAGTGGACTAATTTGTTTCAAATTATGAACGAATATTTTCGATTTAGTTCGTTTCAGACAACATAAAATATCTTGTAATATAAAACTGCAATGTATGTACATACTGTTTTTTTGAAAACGGTAAGAAACACATTATTTTTATTTAAATCACAAGTAATACTTCAAAACAGTTTTTGTCAATATTTTATTTCTCTATATGAGCTATGAATACATTTTCATCATTAAAAGTAAAAAATTTAATTGACTTGATCAAACTACGGTGAAGATATTAAAATATTTGTTTAGTGTCTTTCTGAACACTCAAAATACTATCATACATCATTGTTTCCTTTGGTGATCACTTGTATATGATTATTATTGTTTTTATTTATTTATTTAATGAAATTTCAAAATGTGTTATCAGCATCTACGGACTACTAGGGAACAATTAGTGTCAATTATTATACCTAAAAAAAGTTTATTAGTAGTGTAAATAAAATCAGAATCTACTTAACTACTTTATTTGTATCGAGAAATAACGTAGATACCAATGAAATATTGAGTCATACGAACTACTTACTAAACATGTGTGTAGCATTTTTTCTTAAAAGATTAACTGAATATATTCTCATAATAAAAATTTAGATGTTGACTCATCAATGATTATAAACGTTAGAATAGACATAAACGAATAGATTATGTTTTAATTTAATCTTAGTTTTACTGTTTTTTTTTTGAAAAATTATTGTGAAATATGACAGATATAAATATTCTTTTTTTTATTAAAGAAAAATATCAGTTAAAATATAGTTTGCTTAAATGTTCAAATTCTAAGTAATATTTCAATCATATGAAGATTATTTTCGTCAAAAATTTGCTATTCTGTCTATATTGCTCATATATAAATGTACAAATAACTGAGATCGATGGCAAACATAATGAATATGATATGTCTTGTTTTTTTTAAGATGAACAAAAATGAAATTAAAAAAAGATATTTTATTTAAAAATTAATGATAATGTTATCCACATTCATCTCCATGAATATTCATATTATAATGATTGCTTACTATTAATGAACCTTCAGGATTTCGTTTGCGATTCTTTTCGCTTAATTTCGCAAATAAACGTTCTCCTTTATTAAGAAGTGTGACAACATCAGCATGTGCTCCACCTATTTTAACACCCATATGAGCACAACAAATATTTTCAAAAGGCCAATCATGTAACATATTACGCATCCAGTCACGAAATAAATACGGAGCATCACTTGTAGGATAAAGACCAACATTTTTTATTGATGGATGAAAAGCCATAGCACCATCTTTATAACCAAATAATTTGAGTAAAAAACTAGGTTTATCTGCATAAATTATTGTATCATCAACGTGAAGAGTAGCAGATGCTGGATGATAGACAAAGACACATGTAAAATGATTCGATGATTCAGGTTGTGGATTGATAAATTCAGCACCTAGAATATAAAAAAAAAACAATCGGACAAATATATTGATTAGACATTGATTAATATTTAAGAACATTTCATATCTATTCAATTGAACTAAGAGATTTCAAATTCATGGTATGTAACTGACCTGCTGGAATACGTAATTCTACATCTGGTTCCCATTTTTTTCTTACATTACAATCATTGAGACTTCCAACCCATGGAATTTGTGTTAATCGACGTAAATGTCTTGGTGTTCCATAATAAGCTGCATTTGGATATGCTTCATGAAAAGCTGGAAATGATAGAGTATGAAATGGATGTGTACCAATTACTGCTTCAATTTTATTTCCATTATCTGTTAAATGATTTATTTCTTGTCGAAGATTATCATTAAGTTCGATTGTATCGATAACAAGAAAATTTCCATTATGTAATTCTACAAATGACATATGTGTTTCAATATCAATTAATTTAGCGAGAATTTTAAAACGGCTACGAATATTCCAAAAACCAGAACCAATTTTATGTAATTCGTATTTATCAGTATTTTGAGTAGAGTATAAACTTTGAGAAGATAGAGCTATTGGCATCCTACAAAATAAAGTAAAGATAGATCTAAAAAATAAAACTTTATCCTTGCCTCTTTCATGCAAAAAAACAAGAACAAAACTTCAAACAAGCAAATGTTAATCTACATATAGATTTGCTTGAAACTATATCTATGCTAGTTATATAAATCAATCGAATTCTATTGAAAGAAAAAAACAATGATTTAGCTCTTTGACATTACATGTCGAAGAATGACAAACATCAAACTAATCGAAATAAATATTTGGATAAAAGCTAACTAAAAAAATAAAAAAAAATGACTAGAAGTACTACTTTATCTTTATTTTACTAGTTAAGAAAAAATAAGGCATCACCTGTCACATATTTTTGTCTTATTTCTCACTCAAAAATAAAACAAAATGAAGCTAAATCACTTTAGTATATTAAATACTAAAATGCAATGTCATTTCTAAATCTGAAAGAGTAATCAAAAGAATTCATTGATTATTTTCAAATTCTACAAGACATTCTTAAGATTCTTTCATCTTAAACATGTTACTTTTTTGATGAAATCCGAATGCATACCAAGAAGATAACAACTAGGAATTATTTTATCTTTATTCGGTTTTGAAAAGAAAAAAAATAAATACAAGAAAAAAACACAACATTGCACTGATTATCAACAGTCCTAATAAATATAACATACATATATATACTGATTTATTCATAATAAACACTATCGAAGGAATCATAATCATCAAAAACATTTTCTGGATGATAATTTAACGATTTAACCATAGATAACCAATCAGGACATTGATTTGGATTAAGTGCACTAATATACCAAATATGATCAACACCTCGAAGTCCAAGTTCACGAATTTGTTGATTTATTTTTTTTTTAAATTCTTGTCTTTTTGCAATAGGTATTAAATCAAATTTATTAATAATAATATCATATCGAAGATTGATTGTATCAAGAAGACGAAAAATTTTTTTCATTTCTGTAATTGTTGTTGTTATTAATACTAATATTTTAGTTAATCCTTTCCAAAAAGCAATATATTCCATAGTAAAATAAGATATATCATCATTTCTATCAGATATATCAAAAAGACGATAATTTTGTCCTTCATAAGGTTGAATTTCTTTTGTTGTTTCTCGAGCATCTATTTTAGCTAAATCATATCCAAGTAATTTATTAATTATTGAACTTTTTCCTGTTGATGTTAAACCAAAAAATCCAAAAGCACGTCCACCTAATCGAAGTGGTTTAGTATTTGATGCAAGCTTTACTAATGTTTGAGCTGCATTTTGATCAACTCGTTGAAGATCTTCATATGAGTTTATTTGCTGTTCTTCAATTTTTTCATAAAGTTCATTGAATTTATCCATTGATTCAACATTTTCTTCTCTATAACGAATAAGCTCTGTAATTAAATTTGGATTCGTTGTTGTAACAGTTCTTGTTCTAAATTCTAAATAAAAACAAATATGAAACTATTGAAATTCATTACAACGGAACTGCTTACCGTTGGTAATCATATTTCTTTTGACGAAAAAAATAAACTAGTGTCTCAAATATTTCACTTTTTATAATGTAAAAGTTAAAGGGAAAACATCAAATATATAAAGAGAGTCACTTGACTATTCATTTAATCATAAGTACGCTTGGTTGAATAATATTATGACATAGAAGATGAAACAAAGGTAAAAAAAAGCCTCATATTTATTAGTAACATTCAAGATACGAAACTATGCATTATTAACCTTTTTTTTCTTAGTCATAATGCGTTTATGAGAAAAACGAAATCATTATTTTTTGTTTTTCTTTTAATTCTATTGTAAGAACAAGTATGGGTTTTATTCTTCTATTATCACCATGCGTCAGTGATCGCTCCGAAACAGTCAAGAATTGGAGGAAGAGGGATTATTATTATCACACCCCCGACACCTCACCGATCAGACTTACTATTGCGATGCGTCAATAAATGTTTTTTACTTTTTGTAGGAAAAAAACACCTGATTTGATTAATATCAAATAAATGGTGTGATATCCCTTACTTCTATTATACGAAATAATTTTCGTTGAAGTATATATTAATTATATCAATGTTTACTTAATATGTTTTTCTAAGTGATACACGTTAAATTATACGAGCAAGTGTACAAGATAAAAAATGAAATGTGGAAATTTTCAGTTTAAATAAGAAACTTTTTAGTTTAATTAGCTTTATAAAAGAATATATTGTTGTCAAAGAAAACAAGATGTTGAATTTATTATTTAAAATCAACAAGAAAAAGTATAATTATAAACAAATTAATTCGAAGTGATATTGCTGATGTTAATAATAAGGAAATGACTAAGAGAAATACAATCATATACGTATATTGTTCCAAGATATTGTCTTATTAGTGTGAAATCGAAATGAGTTTATTGATTGAAATAATATGATTGATAATTGGTAAACAATTTTAGATATAATACTATTTTTTTATAATAATTGGAAAAACGATAAATCATCTGTTGATACATAACTACATCATTATTATATCTTTTTATCAATTTTATAATATTGTTATGAAAATAAAAAAATAAACACTCATACTAAATCTATAGAGTATAATCTTGCAAAATCTTAGTCGAATATATAAAGATTTGGTTAAAATAATAGGTGATGCAAAAGTTTCTGCACAAATGTCGGTTCATTTTTCATCGATCAAAGCATATGTGGATAAATTGTAAAGTACTTTTAGGAAATCGACGTCGAAAGCTCTTTCTATTTGTATGTTTAAAAAAAAAATTCTTTCACATATTATCATTCAATAGGGAGCATATCTTAAGACAGCACCTAAAATGTGGTTCGTAAAAGAAAACGAATACCAAAAAAAAAAAGTATCGACTTCACAGTATGTTGCAATTTCTGTTAGTTCATTTCATGAGATGATGTTTATCTTTTCTGCATCAAACTATCGTCTCTATTCTCTTTTTCAGATTGATGTTGACATTGTTTTGTTCACTGTTCGACTACGTTATTTTCCAGTCATTGACTTAGACATACTCATAGAGTGAGTATCTCGGACTATTTGTAGCCATTTTTTCAACTAGTTTTATCAACAATGGCGCCCTTCAAATCTCGAAAATTATATTGACTCATCATCATTTTTATTCTCAGATTTGGTGTTATTTATTACATCGTTGTTTGTTCAATTGTCGATCACATCATCTAACGTAATACCATATGGTTTTCTATTAAGTCTGTAGCGAATTGAGTGGCGTATCTAACCAGAAAAAAGAGTAGCACCATACTATCAATTCCTTTGGACAAAATTTTAAAAAAAGTACAGAAAAATATATTGTTTCTGTATCTACTACTCTGAGCTGTTCTCACAGGCTACATTTTGGATCTATTTAAAGATGCACTCTATACTAAATGACAAGACATGATAAAACATTTTTTAATATACATTTAGAAAGAGCTTTCGACAATGATTCTTTACAAGTACTTTCGAGTTTATCCACACATGTTTTGATCCATGAAAAATATATCAACATTTGTGCAAGAACTTTTGCATCATCTGTTATTTCTCTTAAAACTAGTATCAATTGTCATTTTTTATAGACTTTGCTATAAATCATTTTGAGTGAACAATATCGACAGAATTTTAATAGTTAAACAAATCATTAACTTGTCATATGATAAATCATTCAGATTAGGGTTGTACGATTATGTTGGTATAATTATAAAGTATGCACTTAGCGATAATTTACTAATCGTTACTTATTAAGATGAAAACGTTTTCAAATAGTTTACAAGTCGGGTTTTCTTTTAATTGAGAAATTAATAATAACAATTTGTTCTAAATAAAGAAAAATATATTTATTCGGTAACAAAAAACATGTGAAACAAAGTTTTATACAACGATTTAAGAGGTAACTGTTGGACTCTGATTCAATGGCAATTTTTCTATCGATTCTTCTTCACTTAATGTTGACTCATCATTCGTTGGAGCAACAGTTACACGATGTATTGTTTCACCTTTTGCTTGAAGCATTTGAGCAACATTTCTGTAAATGAAAAAGAAAAAAGAAGATTTACTTTCATATATAGGTTAAATATAAAATATTACTTGAATTTTCCATTTTGTGTTAAATCTTTAAACCAACCTAAATTATCGGCAATTAAATGAAGATTTAAACATGAATCACATCGAATAATTACAACTCCTTGTTCATACGATTGACGAGTAAAAGTTTTTTGTAATTTATGATCACATACTTTACATGTAAATTGAATTCCCATACGTTTAGTTTCTTCTCCTTTATTTATATTAGCTAAAGGAATTTTAGATTGATGAATATTATCATTCGATTGTGATGAGAATATTCGAAGAAAATTACGATGATGATTAGTAATAACTTTCGAAGAATTAATTGCTACTCGACTAGTCGTAACAAGACGTGTCAATGTAAGACGAAGCATTTATCTAAAAGAAATTTAATATAATAAAATAAAAATCAGACGTAATCAGAAGAAGTATTATAAAAATGATACATTAATGTAATGAAATGATATGTATTGATTGGTTTCATCAGTCAAAACGAATCAGATCAGTCTGATTATAGATGTCGCTATTGCTCGTTTATTTTTTTTAGAAATGCAACATAATAAATGTTTATACTGAATTCTATACATAGCTCTCTTTATTGCAGATGTTTACATACGAATAGACAAATATTATTTGTCTACGTAAGTACTGAAATTCATTATCTTTTGAAATTCTACGTTTAATACAATAAAAGATATAAATATGATCTTGAGAGTTTTCTATTTAGTACTGGGCTTGGTATTGTGCAGTGAAACAATAGTGAAAGTGCTTATCTTGATAAAGAATAGAAAACAAGTCAAATTAACACCCATAGTGAGCGAAAACAACGAAGAAAATCGTTCCATTTCGTTCGAAAAAAAACGAAAATTATCTAATATCGTTGAGCAGAGAGAGAGGGCTTCGCTCACTCGAGTCCTCTCTCTACTTCGCACATTCCGAGTTATCATAGTCGAGTGCAAGTTTTTGTACGAGTAATCATCTGTAGAAATTTGTAGAAATCTCGATTTTATATCAACGCATGTATTATTGTAGCAAACCACACATATGGATGTATTACTTTTATTTTTTTTTTATTTAATTAAATAGAAGAATGTTTTAGTACAATTGGAGATAGTTGTCTTCAGTTTTATATTAAGAAATAAAGTTTGTAAAATACAGAAAACAAAGAGTTGAAAATATATAAATGTGAATGATAAGACGACTAACACTTCAGACCAACACTCAATGATACATCCGAACCTTTAGTGTGCCGCTAAACAATAGGCCGTATTGCGTGTATATCATCAGCTCTATGAATTATAGGTTCTGAAGGTCTTTGTTGCATCGAACTAAGTTTGAATGTAGGTGAATATGTACGTGAATAATGAGCTTTTTCGGTTGCTTTTTTCTGTTCGGAAGTTGATTCCATGATAAAGAGGAGTTGACGATGATTGGGCGGAATCGAATCACGTATGAAGAGAGAATTTCGAGAATTTTGAATATCCGATGATTTTGTTATTGTAACATCAACATTGAGCATGCGATTAGTAGATGTATTTTCAGCGACTAATGCATGTAAATCACCCATATGTTTCATGGAGTAAAAGCAATAATTGGTATGCTATGAGAAGAAAATAAACAAGTTTATCTTGGTTGAATACTTCACAAAATAGTTGAAAAACTGGTCGAGTTCTCATAAAATTCTTACTCTATCTTGTTCTACGTAGTCGAATGTGTATTTGAAGATTATAAGAAATCTTTCCGTGAATAAATCCAAGTCCTTATCAATCAATAGAGGGCCATCTATGAATTAGTCGATTCACGGAAGACTTCATTGATTAGCTTGTGTATTAAATTGATTTTTTTTTATCAAGTTATCCTCAAAGAATGAAAATCAGGCAAACAGATATGTAATTGTCAGTTTTATTTGACGCTTTCCTTGAGTAAGAAGCCCTATTTGAGACTCTCCATCTTATGAATCTTGATGCACATCAATCAATGGCTATTCGTCATACTCAGTAGCCTTCTTCTCAATGTAAGATATATGGATTTATACTTGTTGTTCATAGAATTTACTTGGTAACATATGCTAATGAATGGCCCTCGGGAAACATTCTAGTGATAAATGAGGAATAAAAAATGACATACCTGTTTAAACCTAGAAGAATTTTGCATAATGGCAGCGATGAGAGAATCAGCCAAAAGTTTGCTTGTTTCTTCGACAATAACTAAATCTAATTGAGTAAACGAATGGATAACTAACGTGAATTTCATCTCATTAATGATGTTCCTCTCTTGATGCCAATAGGAGGCAGAAAATGGAATAAGTACATAACTGCCTTTAGGTAAAGTATCTGTCCAATGAGTGTATTGTTTGCGGCGACTACACAATATGGCGTATTGATCACCAACACGACTACTGTTTTTGACAATATTGCAGAGTACAAATGATTGGGTATGATTAGCGTAAAAACGTTTTCGGTTTGAACGTTGGTGAAATAAACTCACTGTTATTGTTGAAGGTCTATACATGATTTAAATGAAAATATATTTTTATTAGCAGTTATTCGAAATAGTTGTCTATCAGAAAGTTCTCACCTGTCTAAATAGAAGTAATATGCTTGTACTGAGTGTGCCGCATGCGGAGTGAATTGACCTTCTAGTCTGACATCGAATAGATTATCCCGATAAGAACAGATGGTCACATCGACAAAGAATCGTCCAAAGGCCATCCATGACATCCAAAAGGAACCAGCTGATGGATCAGCTTTGTTCACATTTTGAAGACGTTGAAATACTTCAGTTGTTATGCTCTCGTCCGTGTAATTCGATCGAGCATGTGGATTTCTCAATAAGACAAATCGTTGATTTGAAGAGATGGCATAAGCCATCAAGACAGAATAAGCATGATGACCATGAAGATGAACTCTATCGTACTCAGCTTGGGAAACATCCTTGCGACCTGTCGAGACACCGATCAAGAGACTAAACCAATTAAAAGAGTGAGATACATATCAAATATTCAAGTACAGAATTCTCAGTTTGAAAAGCAAAGTAGTTTTATGCTAGCTGAACATGAATGCCTAATTTCATATACTGATATACATATTTACATGAATCGTGGCATCAGCCAGGATCCAAGCAAAAGACTTGTTCAAACAAGAACATCACCTATATAGTTTGTCAAGACGCTGCGATGCATGTATTTATTAAAGCTAAATCAATTGTTCACTATACTAAATAATTCTCAACTCATTATGCCTCCCGATCGTATAAAAATTTATTTTTATAAAAACTTTAATCTACTAATCGAACAGTAATATTTGAAGATGCATGGTGAGAGAAACATAAAAGAAAAGCTCGGTTTACTGACTTAGCTTCACAGGCTGAGACAAGTTTTGCCCACACAATATCTGTATTATGATTGTCTTCATAATGTGGTTGATCTAGACGAATTCGATCTGAAGGAGCACCAGTAAGTAGTTGCAATCCTTCTTTGATGGATCCTCCACTCAAGTTACGATATGATCCATGTATTTTAGCACATGCTTTTTCAATTAGTGGGGCAAACAACTGTTGTCGTCTAGCCTATAAGTAAAAGAATATATCGATCACATTATATTTCTACAGTATCATCTGACCTTCGTGAAAGCAAGGTGTTTTCTTGGTGTACACGGAAAATAATCATCCAGTAAGACTATTTTCCATAATCCATTGTGACAAAGACGTACTAAATAAATACCTTGTTGATTAACTGTAGACGTCAGAAGTATATGCGACAACATCTGTGGTCGCTCCGTGATCAATGCCAAGGCAGCCAGAAGCCAACAATCTCCAAGATGGCCTTGTTCAATGTCGTGTGGTTGTGGATTGACCATAACTGTCGATAACACTTGCTTCTCTGTTTTTAGATGGAAAATATCACCAATACGAAACCACTGTGACACGGGCAAGTCTTCATTGCCTACTGATCTAGATGATGGTAAGAATTGATCATCGACAAAATTTATACCATTCTATACATCAATTAGTCATCATCGATTTCTAATCAATCAATCTTGTCAAATTTGTATTTACCTCCTGACAATATTGAAGAATATGAGTGAATCGATGTTCTGCATCAACTTCATCGTTGTGTTGTTGTTCATGTGCTGTGAGTGAAAGAACCGTGAGAGAATCTTCTCTCTGCAATTGTGCTTTTATTCTGGTTGTGTTTGTTGTTTCATAGTTTGTCTAAAGAAATAATCAATATTTTCATACAACTTCTTGTATGTTTCCAAGAACTGTCCAGTCACAATCATCAACAACAGGAACACAGTTTAGCGTCGAGAAAAAAAAAATCCAAAAAATAAATAATAAGAAATTCCTGTGATTCATTATCTGATGGTACAACATTTTATTCTTCAATTAAAATTCAAACAAAATAATTTCAAATAATTTTTTGTTCGTATAGAAATCGATTCTTTTTGACAAAATACTAATGCATTTAACAATCAATATTTACCTTGTTGGAGGAAGAAACAGTCAGTGTACTACCACAAAATTTACATTTTTTCTCGTTGAATTGATTAAAAGAAGCACAAAAATGGCACAGTAAATCGATTGGAATCGATGCTGTAATTACTGAATTGTTGTCTGTTTCACATATTTCACAAGTTGGATAGGCTGATTGTGAGTTTAGATATGTGCAAGATACACACGACCATGATTCGTTGTTAGATTGCGACAAGATGGCAGTAGCCATGTTCTTTTCTTACTTACGTGCGAAATACCTTTGCAAGAAACTGCTTAGAAGTAACTTTCTCATTCTGTTCTTTTTCACACATTTACCTGAGTCATCATGATAGACGAAGAGCACTTGTATATGTCAATGAATATTTCACAGACGCAAAAAGAGTTCTCACTTATGACTCAGAGACTTTGCATAACGACTACTTCAGAATGTTTTTTTTTTTATTATTCGAACTGATTGTGAGATAAAAGTTCTTACAAATAATCGGGCAGATAAGCTAAACAAAGAGTAGAAGTAGTCTGAGAATTTTTCAGTATTATTTTTACAGAATTATTATGCAAACACAATGCAGCCACTTTAATCATAAATAAGAAAGCCAACCACATTTGTCAGTGTTGTTGACTACAAAAGCGGTTAAAACCATATAACTTTCAAAACCATTACAAAAAGTGATAAACATGCAGAAAAACCTCTCAGTAGATCTATTTCTGTCTTTGGTATGAGTCTGATCGGATTCACTTTTATCGCTACATAATTCAATACTCATTTCTAATTGAGTGAGTGTAATCCAGTAATGTAACTAGTACGGATTTTTTTCTGACCTGAACAGGTACCAATTTAAACCGGTTAGACTGAATTGAACTAGCTGATAGATCAGCACAAAACATTGTTCTCTTTTCTTATCGTGTAATCGTTCAAGTAACCTCTCAATTGATCATACTTACTTCTGAATCACAACACAAATTACATAAGGCTTCTAGCTGTTTCACTGTTATACTGCTGTTATGAAACATGATTGTTGATGCGTATTGCAGTATATGGCGAGAATATTGACCGTATCTCTTCCAGCTTGCTCTAAGGACTATGACAAACATACCGACGGCCTTCTAGCTTATTGATAAATAGTGATAGAAATTTCAATGTATCTGTAACGGCCTATTAAGTTTGCCGACATGCTGTTTTTTTCTCACTCTGTTATATTCTGTCGTATAGATAATGAGGTTCCTCTAAGAAGAAAAACTAAAATTTATATAGGTTTGTTTGGCAATAAAGTTCAAATACTGCATCATACTTTACTGATACTCAAATTTTCCAGTACCATAAAGTATTTGAACTTGAGTGTCGAACAGACTTATATACAATAAACTGAAACTAATATGCTCGTGACACACGTCGGTATTAGACTTGATATAGCTGAGAAGGTCTTTTCTTTAGTTTTGCACAATAGTTCAAATAGTTCCATCGTTTTTAATATGTTAATCTCATAGGGATCGACATAACATTTCATGGAATAACAATTTTATATTAACCTTGTAAACTAATGAAATGTTTGTCAAACATATCAAGTCTGAATTGACTGCAGTTCTACTATGCGTCTTACAACGGGTTCTTGTTGTTATCTCTTTCGTCTCTTCGATAGATGTGATATAAATAATACGAAATGAGAATAAATCTATGATAAATTACAATGATTAACAGTAATTCAATTTTGTTTCTATAACATAAACTGAGAGATTGAAGAGACTTGATAAAATATAATAGACGTATTTTCGTCAACATTGACTTAATAGAGATATTTTAATGCATGTTATCTCATGGAAATAGTCATTGGCACCAATGAAACCGGTTTGATATGGTTAAGAACCATCACTAGGATCAATTTTTAAAAAAATGTGACAAAGATCGAAACGATTAAAACTAACAGGTATAGAAGAAATTGTGTATGCTGACTGTTTGCTGTTATCAGTTGCAACACTGGTAAATAGAACAAATTTACAATATAGTTTTATTTTTGTTTTCAATCTTTCTTTATCATGTAGAACAATGATAGTTAGTAAATTTATGACTATTTTATGTATCATTTTCAAATCTAGTCGAAGATAATCAATATTAAATTGTATTTAATTTAGCGAAATACCTTTCTAATTTATTAAACTCATATTCATTCTTTTGACATAGCTATTTAAATCAATAGTCATTTTTCTCCTTTGGTAGATATACATTAGATTTCAAAGCTTTTTAGTTAATTTGTAATTAATCTAAAAATCTAGTTCAATAAAGATTATCTTTATATTAAACAAGTATACGAAACAGTTGAATGAGGACATTGAATCAGTTCAATTTAGAAAATTACATATCGATTCTAAATCTTCAAGTAAAATTGTTTCGTCTTTTAATTCTTTTTTGATGGATATAATATCGTTCTAAAGTATAGATGTCCTCAAATGATGGATTGCTTTCGAATTCAAAGATTCATCGAAAAGGTCTTTTTTAACAAATATGTATATTGATAGTAGCGCTTAAGCTAGATAAAAAGTTATTTCAAAAGAAATATAAAACTGATGATTTAGTTTGTCTTTTGAATATTGAAATATTTCCATAGAAATTATTTAAAAATACCAGTAGAGGTCATTATTCTCCATGTTCAATATGGTTATATCAAATATTATTCTTGTTAGTCGTCAAGTGCTCAACTTTTTTTTCTTCTAGATCATTTTAAATTTGCTTTTAAATATGCTAATTCGTAGCCTTATTCATGGAGCTAGCAGATTTGCAGTTCGTTCCTCAGTAAATTGTTTAGTATTTGTTTTTTAACAATAATTAATTTTAAATTTCAAAATTTAGTTTCGTACTTTAACAAATACTCTTCAAACAAATTCATCTGTCAAATATCAAAAAACACATCTTAATGTCCCAGAAACTCGAGTAACAACAATAAAAAATGGTTTACGTGTAGCATCAGAAGATTATGGTCTTCCAACATGTACTGTTGGAATATGGATTGATGCTGGTAGTCGATTTGAAACAGCAGAAAACAATGGTACGGCTCATTTTCTTGAACATATGGCTTTTAAAGTAGATACTAAGAGTAGTTTTCTGTCTAAATCAAAAAAAAAAAAACAAAATAATCTTTAGGGTACAAATAAACGAACACAACGTGAACTTGAACTTGAAGTTGAAAATCTTGGTGCACATCTTAATGCTTATACATCAAGAGAACAAACTGTTTATTATGCAAAATGTTTTAGTAAAGATTTACCACAAAGTAAATTTTTTTATTTGTTTTTTAATTTTTATAATGAATATAAATGAATAGTTGTTGAACTTCTATCGGATATAATGCAAAATAGTCTATTTGGTGAAGATGAAATTGAACGTGAACGTAATACAATTTTACGTGAAATGCAAGAAATTGAAAATAATTTACAAGAAGTTGTTTTTGATCATTTACATGCAACTGCTTATCAAGGAACACCATTAGGAAGAACTATTCTTGGTCCTAGTGAAAATATTAGGTAAGTTTATTAGAAAAAAAACAAAAAAACAAATATTTCCTTTAATCATTTTTAATTTAAAGATCAATCAAAAAAGGTGATTTACTTAAATATGTAGGAACACATTATATAGCACCACGAATGGTATTAGCAGCTGCCGGTGGAGTTAATCATGATCAATTAATTCGTTTGAGTGAAGAACATTTTGGAAAATTAAAAGCTGGTTCTTCAGGATATTTAACTGATCTTGTACCATGTCGGTAAGATCATTTAATTAGTTTGTTTTTACTTTTCGAATAATTCAATAAATGTTTTTTGTTTCTTTAAATTAGTTTTACTGGAAGTGAAATTCGTGTTCGTGATGATGATATGCCATTAGCTCACATTGCTATTGCTGTTGAAAGTACTGGATGGGCTGATGCTGATACAATTCCATTAATGGTTGCATCGACTATTGTTGGAAATTGGGATAGGTAAAAACTTAGTTTTAATCCAAAAATTTTTAACAGTTATTTAAATATAAATGAACAAATTTTCATTATGATATTTAAAGTTTATAAAATATTTATTCTCGTTAATGAGTTATGTTGAGTATTTATTATTCACAGATGAAAAAAATCAATCACTATAACATGAGCAATATAAAACATATTTGAATAGTTTAAATTGAATAGATCAATGGCTGGTGGTGGTCATGTAGCAACTCGTCTTGGTCAACAAGCAAATAAATATAATTTATGTCATTCATATCAAGCATTCAATACATGTTATACAGATACTGGTTTATGGGGAACTTATTTAGTTACAGATAGAATGAGAATTGATGATGCAATGAGTGCAATACAAGATGAATGGTATTTTAATTTAAGATTTAAATATTTTCTTTAGTTTTTATAAATAAAGGTGTCGTATTGCAACAACATGTACTGATATTGAAGTAACTCGAGCTAAAAATTTACTTAAAACTAATATGTTATTAATGCTTGATGGATCTACACCAATTTGTGAAGATATTGGACGGTTTGTTTTTCTTCTATATTGTAAACTATAAAAATAAAAATTTATTTTTTTATTATTTAACAGTCAATTACTTTCCTATGGTCGACGTATTCCTTTACATGAACTTGATGCACGTATTGATGTAAATATATTTTATTATTATTAAAAAAAAATTCGAAATCATTTTTGTTTTTGTTTTATTTGAGGCTGTTGATGCAAAAACAGTTATGTCAGCAATGAAACAATATGTTTATAATCATTGTCCAGCTATTGCAGCTGTTGGTTAGTTGATAGAATTGTTGTATTAATTTATTTTATTGTTGTTTAATTATATTCATTTTAAGGTCCAATTGAACAATTACGTGAATACAATCGAACACGTAGTCGAATGTATACAATATCACATTGATTAGACAATGATATTAATATTTATTTTTCTAAGTTCCTATTGTTGAAGAACAATTATGGATTTGTTTCATTGTCAATGTTAACAATAAATATAGAAAAAATGATCTGTTGATTTGTTATCTGTTCATTAAAGAAAAGTTTTTTCTGTGAATGAGTCTGTTTTTTTTTAGATTTTATATTTGATAGATATTTAATATTTAAAAAAAAAAAAAGAATTGATGATAACATTCAACTTTGAATTATGTTTTGAAAGAAAAAAAAAAAAAGATCTTTGTTGAATGTTAACATATGGAATGAAAGTTTTTGATGAATTTATTCAGAGAAACATAAATATTTTAATCAAAATGTTTTATATTATTAAAATGTCAATAGCAATTTATTGACTAAATCAATAATTTGATTTATGTTTAAAATTCGTTAACAATCAATTTTAAAGGGTAATATTTGTACAAAGAAAAAAACTATATTTAAATTGATTCTATTTATTTGTTGTCCGATAAAAAAAAACAAATGTTTTATTTTGTGTCAATGCTAAATTAGTCAATAAGATTTCACTATGTGAAATATGAAATGATGAAATTCTTTTTAGATATGAACAATTCAATTAATCCACCAATAATCAATCCGAATCAGTTCCCATCATTAACACGTATTTGTATAAATGAAATATCTATACGTAATGATTCATATATAATATCAATGTATATTAAAAATATTGAACAAAGTGAAATAGATATTAAAGTTCGAAAAAAAGAAAGTGCTGATCAATGGAAATCGAGTTTTAATGTAACTGGTAAATATTTATTTATTATTTTTAATATTAATCTTTCAGTTTTTTTTCTTTTATTGTAACAGATATTGAAATAATGACAGAAAAAACAGGCAATTTTAAATCATTTAATGTATTTGTTAATATGCTCGAAGATGCTATAAATAAAGTAAGATTAACAAATTTTTTTTTCGTTTAACTATTTGATGAATTTATTTATTAAATCTAGAAAAATTCATCATTAAGTATTGATTTATTTACATCTGATGATCTTGATTTAATACGTAAAAAGCAACAAGATCAAAATAAATCTTTTAAAACAAAATCATCAAATAAACGTTATTTAATATTAATATATAATACTGAATATGATCGTATTTATTATCCATTATCTCTTCGATATTGTGGTAAACCAGATACAATTATTTTAATAGGACAAATTCATCAACTAGTAACTGAAAATGAATCATTAAAATCTCAAGTATTTACTTGTAAAATTTAATTCTGTTTGTTGTTGTTTTTTTTAATATTCTTCTTTAGCTTGGATCAGATACTAATCGTTATGATATAGAAGAAGAGTAGGCACTTTAGTTTTTGTTTATCTCATTAAATAAATCTTATATTTAAAATAGATGTTCTCGTTTGAAAAAAGAAAATGATAATTATCGTCAACAATTATTATTATTAAATGATAGAAAACAAACAGATCTACAAATTGAAAATTTACGTCAAATAATTAATGAAAGTGAATATGCTTTAATTAAAGAACAAAATAATTTACAAAAGATAAAAATATTAAAAGATGAAAATTATAAAAAATTTAATAATAAAGTTTGTTTAGTTTTTTTTAACTAAAACAAAGAAAATAAATATAAATATTTTCTTTTTCTAGATTGAATTATTAAAAACATCTGAAAGACAATTGAAATTAAAAGTAAAAGATTTAACAAATCAAATAAATTTACTTAAGAAAAAGTAAATTAAGAATATTTTCATTTTAATTATTTTATTCTTTGAATCTAAAATTAATTTTTATCACATTGAATTGAAGTAGACTGTTAGATTAGAATATCGAAATAGATTATCTAACGATCAATGTCAATATTGTTTAACAAATATTTCTCAATTACAAATATATGCACTTTTCAATTAATATCAAGTTAAACTTTATTTAATCATTGAGAGAATTAAGTTATTAGGGTTAACAAGGGAACATTTACAGGTGTTGAAGCGCTTTTCAGTCGGCACTTAGTACATTTTGTAGATCTTAGTCAGCTATGTTTACCATAAAAAAGGTTTGTGCCCAAAAACGCTCAAGAAAAATTTTCCTCAGAGTTTTTGGGTTTCGTACTGCCTGCAGTATTTTGAGTGTATCTTCATTAAAATAAAAGCATTTTGAAACAATTTTTTTTATCGAAATGCTCAGAGTTAAAAGCTCTACAAATGTTGAAAACTTCGTCAAAATCGGAGAATCATTTGTGTACAATGCGGTTCAGATACATTGGAAATATCCAGCTATAAATCTAAAAACGTTCGATCTTCTTAGAAACAGACCATGGGCACAAACCTTTTTTATGGTAAACATAGCTGACTAAGATCTACAAAATGTACTAAGTGCCGACTGAAAAGCACTCCAAAACCTGGGAATGTTCCCTGGTAAGAAAAATGATAGTTACTGCGTTATTCAATAGTCTTTATACTTTCTGGTATTATCGAGTGTCTCTTTCAGAGAACAGATTGATTGTTATTTACATAAAAGAGATGAAAGAAGACGACAACAACATAATAATAATAATAATATGATGTTCGAACTATAACTATAAATGCCTCTAATGACTTAGAGTGGTTCGATGATTAAGAGAATAATTAGTATTTTCTCGAACCTTTCTATCTAAAGAATCAGCACTGTATATATTAAGACAAACATTTTATATCGTTGAAAGATGAAAGTTCTCAAATTTCGGTTTTTTTTCTTCTAAAGCGAACTTCTGTATTTTCACAAAAAAAAACAAACAAACAATTCATTTTATAGAAAAATAATAAAATTGAAAGAAACTTTCGACTTTATATTTTTTGGATTTTATGTAAAACTTAATGCATAGAGTATTGAAATAAAAGCTGAGAAATTTTTCTTCATAAAAACGAACTTTTTATATATATTAAAACAAATCGATATTCAGAGAATTAATTTTGTATCTTAGAATCATCGACCTACTAAAAATTAGTTCAATATGACTTTCGGAATAGAAATTTCGCTATTTTCAATGAATAATTATTTAACTTTATAATTTATTAAAAACACATAAAACTATTCGATGAAATGATTTTCTTTATTTTTTATTCTAATTAAGGAAAAAAATTTGTATTTTAGTTGTTCATCATCTAATTCTCAACAACGATCATCTTCATTAATTTGTTCAAAGTCAACTGATCAACATCGATATAATTCATCAAATGGTTCTAAACGATTACTATCGTCAACAGGTAACATTCTTTTATCAGTTCATTGTTATTTTTATTTGAAAAATTCTTTAGATTCTCATATTCGATTTAATCCAACTGATTATATTAATGAAAAAAATCTTAAATTACAAAAGTATTTTTGTTTTCACGTTATATTAAAAAATTTTAAAATAAAATGAGATTTTTAGAACAAAAGCAATTCGTCAAAGATTAAACAGTGCTCGATGTCGTTCAAATTCGGATATTAGTAGTAAGCTAATTTGGTTTTTTTTGTCTGTTTATTCATAAAACTTGTCTTAATCTTTTACTTTTTACAGATTCTAATATGAAATTTAATAATAATAATAATCGATCTACATCGAATTCAAGAAAAAATTCACGGTTATTTTTTTTTGTCTATTTTCCTTAATTTTATGGAAAAACAAAAACAAGTCTGTTTTCTCAATTTTAGTCGAAAACAAAATAATGATCTTAATCAAGACAAATCTAAGGAATCAATCGATTCAGTATGTTATTTTAGAAGAATAGATAATTGAATAATAAAAGACAATAACTTTAACTTTCTCATAGGATATAGAACGAGTCTCATCACCAATTGTTTTACATAAAGCTGCATCGAATAATTCAACAAAAATTCTCTTGTCTGAAAATTCTAATAATGATTATAAAAGTATTTATTTTCATAAATTTAAAAAAATTTTTTTTATTTTCAAATAAAAATAGTTTTAGATGAAAATTCAACATTACGAAATTTTTCTAATTCTGATAATATGATTGATATTGATCAACGATTAAAATCTTTAGAAAAATTTTTCAAACAAAATTTAAAACATTAAATTTTTCTTCTCGACTTGTAAATATTTGTTTGTTTTTTTTTTGTATTCTTTTTAATTAGAATTAGTTTTTTTTTTTTTTTATTTATTATAAAATAAATTTTTACAGATTTATAGACAAATAGAACTAATATTTGTATCTGAATTGACGAAAATTATTCTTTTTTTATATAGAATAAAACCAAAAGACTTCTTATTCATTTGTCAATAAAAATAATACGAACAAATTCAAATTGAAAGACAATCATAAGATTTTATAAACTAACTAATATTATATTTATCGGAAGAAGATATCCAAAGACGAATAAAAAATAATAACTATTTATCTATCATACGAAAACAAAAACATATGAGACTTTCATTTTATTTACTCATTTTTTTTTTGTTAAGAATATAAACAGAAATAAATGCCTAAAATAGAAATCATTAAAGTTTTTTATAAACTTTAACTAGAATGAGTAAAAATACGAAAACTCTTAGATTTGAAAACTAATTTTGTCATAACTAGAATAATTTACTGGAATGAAATAAAATATTATAAATTTATCCAAATATTTTTATCAAAAAAATAAATAAAAAACTTTTTTTTTTATCATCACTTAAAAATATATTCATCAATTAACTTTATTTATTTCATTTATCATTCTATTTAAAAGAATAGTTATTCATTATAAAATAGATTTAATCGATTTTTCATCTATACACCAAAAATAAAGGAAAAAAAAATAATTATAAAACAAAGATCAAGAATAATAAATAAACACTTAAAAGTTGAATTAAATTATGGTACTTCATTTTGTTCTTGATTATCTTCATCTTCTCTAACAAGAATAATTGCTTCAGTAGCTAAACGAACAATAAGTGGACCTAATAGAGCTCCCCATGCTCCTAATAATTCTAATCCACCAAATATTGTTAATAATAATAATAATGTTGACATTTTTAATGAAGCCATTTTTGAAAAAATTGGTCGAAGTAAATTATCAACAGATCCAATAGCTAAAACTCCAACAATAATCATAATAACTGCCTTTAAATAAGCTTGTTGAATAAAAAGACCAATTGTTATTGGAATCCAAACAATTGCTGTACCAAGTATTGGAATTAATGAACAAAAACCAGTTAAAACACCAAGCGCATACCAACGTGGAATTTGTAAACATAAATAAGCAATAGCAGCAACACAACCTTGTACAGCACAAGTTAAACAAACCCCAATTAAAAGACCACGTCCTGTTTCTTGAAAAGCATCTTTAAAACGTTCCATATGTTTAACTGATAATGGACTATGTGTTACTGTCCATGTCCAAAGTTCAACACCATGTAATAAAAATGTATATGTTGATACCAAAAATATTAATATACCAATAATAAACTAAATATAAAATATTTATTTATCAAAATATATTTATTTATTTATTTTAATCGACTAACTTGAACTGTAGCACCAGCAACAGTTGATAAAACTGATAAAGCTTTTCCACCAAATAATTGTACAACATCAGCTATAGCATCTCGTTGAATTAAAAGACGTTCTAATAAATTAAATGTTGCATTTTTACCACCTTTTATAAAATCAATAAAACTTTGATTTGTTGAATTAAATGATGATGATGAGTCTTTTGAATGATTAGTATTATCATTTTTATTTATTGGTGGTACAAGAAGATTTATTGCATTTCGTGCTGTTGTTGAATTTGAAAGATTTGCAACAAAATTAAGTGTCGAACCAGTTAAAGCAATTATTATTAAAATAATTGGTATTATTACAACAATTCCAAAAAAAACAAGTAAAAATGCAGCAATTGCTGAACGAGAACTTTTTTCTCGACATCGATTCATTAATGGTCTAAATTAATATTAATAATCAGTTTATTGGATTTTTTTAATTTTCTTAAAATCTTTCAATTATTAATTCTTTTAATTAGTAATATATTCCTATCATGCACAACACAAAAAAAAACAATATTTTCGCTTCAATGAATATTATAATTAGATCAACAATATTCAAGTTTTATATTAAAAATAGTAAAAAGAAAAATATCAATTTAATATCGAAAAATAAAGATTTATACTTGTTTTTTTGTTTTGTTAAATATTCAAAGTAAATAAACTTACAAATGATTGACGAGCCATTCAAGAACTGGTCGACATATAGTTGATAACCAAACAGCAAGAATTAATATCGAAATATAACGCCATATAATAATTATTGTTCCAATTGATAATAACAATGCACACCATCTCATAAGACGCTGTTGAATTAATATTTTACGTGTTAATATCATTTGTGACTTGTTTTTTTCGTTATGTTCGTATTGAGATAGTGGTATTGAGAATGGTGTATTGTCAGTGATAGAATCAATAGCCTCATCTGGTGTCACTAATGATGGAGGCGGGGTCTTTTTTCCATTATTCATAGTTTCCCGTTTTCAAAACGGGTAAATTTTATTTTCGCGATTACGTTTACCAAGATGCTGATGATGTTTTACTCTTTTACTTCTCTCTTATTATTTTTTTTCCCTTTTTCTCTCGGCCTTTTGGTGTGACACGTCAAAGAAAAGAAGAGAAAAAAAAAAAAAAAAGACGATGTAATGTTATTAGAGAAAAAAAACAAGATGACTTGACTGTTTTGTAGATGTTGGTACCAGTCTCTGCTATATAGAAACAGCAGACAGAACGAAAGAATGTCGATTGAGAATACATCTGCACAACGAATATCTATTCCTTTATAACACACAGTCATTCAAATGTTTGGTGGTAGAGAAAAACAAATCTAATCAATAGATTGCTATTTTCACTAATAACATAAGACGTAAAAATGACTAACTAAATATAGCCCTCAAAACTAACAAAAAACAGAGAAGTCCGTTATATTCATCTTTCGATAATTCTTATGTATCGTTCGTAATATTGAAAGATAAAATCTACGAATACATTCATATTAAAGTAAATAACATATAGCAACTAAAATGAAATACAATGTTTAATCTATATTTATATTTTTAAATTTCCTTTGAAAAAAAACAAAAACTAAAAATTTTTCGAAGAATAACAAAATCTTTGTTTTGATGATTTGCTTCTTTAAGAAAAAAAACAAACTGAAGAAATATTAAAAATTTGTTTTGTTGCTATGTGAGAGTAGCAAATATTTTTATTAAATTCTAAACATAAACAGGAACAGGTTTGAAATGCTTTTTTTTTCTATATCGTACAAGACAATATATAATACTAAAAATAATAATAATCAAAAGTAATATAATAATACTACCAAATAATAATGATATCCAAGAGAATAATTTGATTTTTTTAGATTTTGATGTTTTATTTAAGTCTTGATCAATCGAATTCGAATATATTTCTTCTGTTGAAACTAAAATTGTATAAGAATGTTGAAAATTTGTTAAAGGTGTATTTGTTGTTTGTCTAAAAATCGAATAAATATGTATAAATCGTTTTCCTGTTTTAGTTTTATTTACTTTTGATTTATATTTATTGATTGTTCATTTGTTTGATTAATAAGAAAATGAATCATATCAATATCAATTGAATCCGAATATAAATCAACAGAAGGTAAATTATTATTATTTATATCATTTGAATTATTCATAAATTGTTTATCATTTGTAAATAATGGATATATTTCACGAAAATATTCACTAATTATTGAACAATCACTAAAACGACATTTTTTTTTACATAATAAATCATCATTATAATAATCTTTAATATATTTAATATGTATTAATATAAGTCGAGCACAATCACATTCAGTTAAATTTTCTATTTTAGGAAAAATAATATTTAATTGATCTTTATAATTATTATAAATAAAATGAATTAAATAACAACGAGAATCTGATATCATTTCAGATAAATTAATATCAGATAAATCTATATATTTTAAATTATTTTTTAAATAATATAATACTTGAGGATTTATTCGACGAAGACGAGAACCAAATTTTAAATTATTTATATATTGACCAGATAAAAGTGTTCGTTCATTTAAATATTCAATATCTAATGTTAAAGAATCTAATGTTGGAATATATTTATCAATTGAAACTTCAAAATGTGGTTTAATTAATTCTAAACCACGTAAATTAGTATATAATGGGATAAATGAATCAAGATTCATTGAATAAGCTTCAATAGCATGAATTGTATAAGAATAAACAGAAAAATAATATGGAAATGAATTTGAATCAATCCTATCAACATGACGATGAAGTTTTAAAGATCGAACAAGACCTTTAAATGTTTGTCTTAGATAATATGGACCAGGAGGAATAATTGATCCATGAAAATGAAGTTCACCTATATTTGTATTATTGAATACAAATTCAAATGGATATGATGATGAAATAAATGCTCTTGTCATATAACTATATATATTTAAATGAGAAACTGTTAATCCAGAAAAACAATTTTCAGAAAATGTAAATTGATCATCAATTGCAGTAGAATTATTTTCACCGGATTCATTCTAAATATGATGAAATAAATATGAAAAAAAAAAAATAAAAAAAGATAAATTACTTGAATATAATTCGATGTTGTTGGAATAAAATGTAACCATAAATGTTTTTTATAATGTTTTTCATTAAAAATTTTTGAAGTTAAAGAATATTTATTAAATGTAATATGTGTAAAATGATTAAATCGAATAGATAATTCAATTTTAGCATCATTATTTGTTTGAGAAAATAATTTTGATAAAGAATCAAATTGATATGAATATATTTCTACTTGATTTTTAAGAAAAAATTCAATTGAAATCGTACGAAAACGATTTTGATTTTGAAAATCAAATCCAAATGGTGATTGAAAAGTATCTTTAGTTAAAGAATTTCCATGACAATATAAATGTGAATAGATTTTAATAGGTAATGATATATTTAAATCAATATTAGATTGAAAACAAGAACAATTTAAGGATAAAAATATTGAACAAGATGTTACACTATTTATTATTATTAGTAATACAATTATATTTAATATATTGATGTTCATTCTAAATTTAAAAGATAATATCGACGTTACTAAAACACTAGTCTTCGACATTTATGGAATACTATCCTTAAAGCAAATATTTACAATCTCTCCTGAATTAATATGATAAACATGATGGATCTGCATATATTGTAAATCAAGGCGTTCTATAACATATGTTTTAGTTTCACATATCCAACATTACTGATATATGTCTATCTTAAAAGATGTTATTCATGATATGTTTAAGTGAATTTAGAAACAAGGTCAAAGACAAGCTTTTTCGATTTAATCTTATTTCATAATAATCTCATTGAATGATTTAGTTATTTTGCTAATAATTCTGTCACAGGATGTCACGGGAAAAACTATCTTCCGTTGTCTATGAAGAAGGAAGAGATGCTCTAAAATCTATTCTCAACAATTTCAATATTTATTATAGATCACGATTCAAAGATAATATTAATTAACAATATATTCAAATTTGAAATAACATTATTTAAGTATATATTAATGATATATTTGCCTTTTCATTTATTTTTAAACTTAGAACAAAAAAAACAAACAAACTATTCTTTACTTATTTATTACAGCTGCCGAAAGTGATTAGGAATTATTATTTTGATAAACTATTCTATGATAGAAAATAACATATATATATATGTATATAAATGAATTCCCAAGGTTAATAAAATTGTTTTCTGATAAGTATTAGTCTTCAAAATAGTCATAATCTAAACAAGACAAGGTCTATTTCTATCAACATTAATCGAAGATAAGTATTATAAAGGTTAACTTGACATTTATTTTACTATATATTTCTTTAATTTTCTTTCAATATCAGTAATAAAAAATATAGATAGATTATCTAATTAATATAACACACGAATTGATATTAGGAAAATTCTTTATCATATTATTTAAAGTAACATATTAAATATAGATTTATTTAATTAAATTGACTAAAGTGTCTGATCAACCACATGACACCACATTTTTTATTTATAAAATGTTCTTTCTCTTGACAGATAGAAAAGTATATTAATCAAACTTCTATAAAGCATTTTTCATTCTAATTTCCTATTTGTATTCAACGGAGAAATACATCATATTTTATTGCTAACAAAAAAACCTATAGAAATTCTTACTTTATTGATAAATCATCTGACGATAATAATGCGTATATATATATATATTCTATGAATTTATAAAATTGATTCAAATAAATCCTCGATAGATTTACATCGTTGTTAATAGATCATAAAATAAATTTATAGATAATTCAATTGGTCTATAATAATAAAAATAATAACTATAGAAATAAAATACTCGTTGTGCATTCAATCGTGCGACATCATTGTACAATCATTTATGAGAAAGGCTTGCATAAATACATTTATGCAAACACAAGAAGGTCGCTCTTCAATGTTCTTCTCGTTCGCCACTCCTCAATACAATGTTGATCATCATCATCATCATCATCATGTGAGGAAAGAAAAAAAAACCTCGGATTGATGATTTATCAAATACACAAGAAAAAAAAAATATTTATAACCGTGTACTGAATAATACAACACAAATTGTCAGTGACTATCTTAAAGTCATATATTTTTTTTATCGATATTGCTCCGATGTAAATAAAACCAATATTAATAAATATTATTTTTCGTCTTTTTTTTGTTTCTCAATCCGCTATAGGAAATATCAATAGAGAAATAAACTGATTTTTCAAGTTCAATCCATATGTACACGTTCGATACTAAACTCAAAAAAAAAAAAAGAAACTTATCGACATTCAATCATATGAAAAAAAAAGCATTGAATGAATCAAGGGTAGTACTCACATGTTTCTTTTTTGTGTTCTTAGTGTAAATTTTAAAAGACACGTGCGTTCTCCGAAGCTGGAAAGACAAAAGTTGGAATAGAAAAAAAAAAAAATAAGAACGACTAAATTGGTGCTAGGGTATGCGTCGGTTTTGTGCGTGTATCAAACAACCTTGCAAACACTATAAAGTATTGTTCTTCAACTAAATAACAAAACAAAAAACTCTCAGAACTCTGTTAGCAGATGCTTCTTCTCTATTCCTTTACTCGTTCTGTTAGCAGAAGGAAAAAAAAAGAAAAAAAATCCAACGTGAAAGTAAATGAAGAGAAACGATGGATCAATGTCGACTATGTAACGACCAATTTCCCTTAGACAAACTATGAACATATAAACGATTACTGTCAACAAGTATTTAGCAAAGACTAAAAAGTTTATACATCTACAAATCATTAAGCACATACTAAAACAAAAACAAAAAAACCTAATTTTAAGTCTAAGTTGAACTGATGAAATATTTCTTGAAGACAAAGTTATACTGTTATTCATATTAAAATGAACAATGTTTAATCAATCACTAATGAATAAAAAGTCTCTCAACAGCATGTGGTCTTTGTCGTTTTATATTCTTAAATGAATGATGAAAAATAATTTTCTATTTCTTTGACATTCATCACATATCGATGTTAAATGATGAAATAATCAATTCAATTAAAGACATTATTATATAATAACATTCTCTATAATAGATATAAATATATTCATTTCATGTTAGAATAGAAGAAAAGAAACGATGCAACCAGCAGATTATCGTCTTGTACGTTCTCATATTAAAGCTGGAATAATGATGGCAATTAAACGACATGTATTTCCAAAAACACTTGACTATTATTTTTCCTATTGGTTATATGGTCAAAGGAAATCAACCGAACAAATTTCTGTTAATTTATCTCGATCTGGTCCTTGTCTTGTATGTTCGAATAATAATGTTAAATGTGAAAACTTTTCATTACTTACCGTAGATATTAATTCGTTTTTACAATGTTTACCTTTATTAGATAATGAACAATTATCAATACTTTATTCATTACTTGATATTGATCAACAATCTTATCAATCTGCTATTCGGAAACAATATCAAGATTATAAACAACAATTAATTGAAATTTTACAAAGAAAAACTAATCAGCAATTAAATCCTATATAATATAATTTAATTATGAAAATGTATGAAAATATTTTTTTTTTGTATTTTTAATAAAATACTAATCGATGGTTCTATAGTCTAGTGGTTAGGACACTGGATTCTGACTCCAGGAACCCCTGTTCAAATCAGGGTAGAACCTTCTTCTTTTATATCATCTTTTTTTTTTTTCTCGAAAAATTTCTTTATTGAATTCCTATTGAAATAGAAAGCTGCCATTTGTTATTATACAAGCATACAAAGGTGAGATTGTGTCAAGTTAAAGATAGCTGTTAACGAAATGAAAAGTGTCGAATGTTTTTAATTTAATCAAAAAATCAATTTATACATCTTAAAGATTTTTTTTTTGCTTTTTTCCATACTCATACATATATATGAATAATATCCATCAGTGGTCATCGAAAAGAAAAAACAATATTAATTCAAGTAGAGATATTGAACTAATGAAACTTTTTTTTTGAGATGAAAACTAATGTTATTTCTTTTATATTTAGTTTGAAAGAACACTACTCCTATTATCGTAGTATAAACATGCATATATTTGACTTCATTGAATAATTAATACATGCCATTCATCGAAACTATTCGAAGGGCACATTCTCAAGATGAGAGGTATCTATAATAGTACTTAACAAGTTAATAATGCATTTTTATTTTTGATGTTCGATGAAACTTTTTTAAAAAATCAATGATCTGAGAATATTTCTTATTGTGAAAAAATAATATAGTCACAATAGAGTAGATATTGAACAAATTAGAAGATTTTGATTCTCAATATCTAGGATAACTAGATTGATGATTTTCTGAGACAAAAAGAAATTACTGATAATTTGATTTTGTTTTCATAACAAAAACCATTACATATTATTTCGTAGACAACAAAAGAAAATTAGCTTAAAGTAAATCGAGCAAGAATAAATAATTACATATAAAAAAAAAAGAAGCACGCAACTCATACAGGGTTATAAAAACAAAGCAAAAAAAATTATGTGTTTAAAAAATAAAATATTTCATATATAGAAGAAGTTTTTTTTTTGAGAAAAAAGAATCATTTATAAAACAAAAAAACAAAATCTTTTAAATTTCATCTTTATGTTCACAAGATAAATTTTGCAACATTTGACTCCTTCTTCTCATTTGTTTTACACGAGGTCTTTCAACAAATAAAGTATAAATAGATAAAATGATAAATATAATGAAAGCAACAATAATTAAAACACAACCACTAATAATTATCGAAGTTTGAGATTTTGAATGTATATATTCCAATTGTACTGATTTAAAATTAATTATTCGATCATAATAACATCTATACGTATGTCCAAGCTAAACAAAAAGGTTTCGATAAACAATCAATTATATTATTTTTGTTATTATACTAACTTGAATATGATGTTGAATTGGATTATTTTTGAATATAATTGTACTTAGAATTTCAGTTCCATTAAATATAGAATAACTAACTTCAATTTTTTCATCATAACAAACTGATTTATTACAATGTGAATCAGTACAAGAATAACATGAACGTGGAAAACATGAATATTGAAGTACTAAACATGTTGTTTCCCATTGATTATGTAAATATTCGTTATATTGATTTTGTATTTGTTTTATTGCACCGAATAATCCCAATAGAAGACCTAAAATACCGATAATACAAGCAAACACTCCAATACCTACTATTGTGATTACACGATACAAATTTCTAATAACAAAAAAAACAAAAACTTTCTTAATAAGTTTTTTTTTTTTTCTTTAAATTAAAACAAAAACAAAAAAACATACCGATGATTATTTTTAATTTGTTTAATATTTTCATTATTTTCAGTTGAACTACGCATTTGTGCTTATTCGTATTATAACCGGTGCACAGGTTAGATAGTATTTATGATAGACTCAAATATGTTAATGACGTTATCATCATACCGAAGAAAAAACAAATGAATCGATACAATACTATTATCAAAATGAAGAATAGCGTAAAATACTAAATCATATTGTGAAATAATATCTATAATATATTTTATATTATGATAAACTAGATATATATATGCATCATATAAAGTGATGATATAGAAATGAATAATCACATGATGATATTAAAGAGACAAAAATGGATTTTTAGATAAATAAATATGTAACATATTTAGACACGGCCTTTTTACAATAAGCTATTTAAAACTAATAATATCTTTAACAATAAAAAATTGATGATAAAGGTGGAAACTTATTTATGCGTAAAAAAAAATCTATAATTAGGTAGATGTTAATCAATAATTGATTGTCTCCACTTTTTCGCTTTTTTTTCAAAAGTATTCTTTACACTTTTCGTACAAAATATTATCGTCGAAAATTTTTAATCAGGTTTTCATTTTTATTAAAGATATTATCTGTTCTTGATCTTATGTTTTATATTTCTCGTCTGAGTTTTAAGAAATATTTCTCTGTGTTTATTCTCATAGTGTTTGTTAGTGTTTATTAAGTATGTTCATGATTGCAACGTGAAAACCATCAACATGTTAAGGACAAGTATTAAAAATGCCGCTTTTTTTAATGTGTAGCTTCTCATTTGCAAACATATGGAACATCACCAGAAGGGTTAGAGGTGTTCTTTATATCGTTTAATTAACAACAAGTGCACTTCCCATTGATGACACTTGAATTCATGTTGTCATTATGAATAGATTCAAAGGGTTTTTATATAATAATGAGTGGGGCTAAAGTTATGAGTAATTTTGTTTTTTTTTTATCATTGTGTTGCATTGCAATATCATGGAGACTTGATTCTCTTTTGAAAACAAAAAAGTAAAATCTCTAATGCAAAAATTTAAATATCACATGAAAGCCGCTGTTGTAATATAAACAGATACATAGATATAATGCTAAAAAGAAAACATCAAAAGTTAATAATGAAAAAAATCCAACACATATAAAGACAGTGTGTAAAAACTGTGACAGAAGTTGCAGAAGAGTTTTTCCCTATTTGATATGCTGAGCTCTTTTTGATGTTTGGAAAAGACTTCTGATCAAATTCTGTTATATATTTTTGCACTGAATTCGCAACACATTCAAGAATATCCTCTCGAACAAACAAAGCAAAGGAGATTTTTGAAGCGCCATCTGAAAATCGTTTTTTTTTTGTAGTATATTCTGAAGAAACTCATTAGATGTCCTATGCAGAAAAAGGTTTCCAAGATCATATGACATAATTAACACAATGAAAATTTTGAAGGGTCACTTAAGAAGAGACCTTTCTTAAATAGGAATAGTACGTAAAATTCCGTTATGTTTGAACTAGAAGATCTCGACGTCCTCTAAGTCTAAGAACGCATTTCTCTACACAGAAAACTGCAGAGATATTTCTTGAAATAGACATAAAAATTCCCAAAAACCACAAAAAAATGTATTTAACTGCTTTTTTTTCTATCGATTGTATCTTCGTAGACAATTGCATTCATTGAAGTTAGTTAGAAAATAATAAATATGTTAGTGATACATTTCATTGTGAACTCACTCTATCTACTATCGATACATAGTCAAAGATAAACAAAAAGAATTTCAGGGAGAGATATAAGTTTTTAGAAAAATATAATCATATCGTACGTTGAAGCAAGGTTTTAGGCATATTGGTTGTCTTGTTCTAAGAACACTTCCTACAAATATTGGTTTTTCTTTCACAGAATCTTATCTATCATTTTTGCATTGTATGAACGTGAGATAAATGAACTAATCCTGTTTGCTAACGATGTATAGGATAAAAATGAATTAAAACAACGAATTGTTGTGAAGACTATCAATAACTATGACTTTGTTAAAGTTATAATAGAAACCCTCCTTCTTCTTCTTTAACTTGTAAAAGATAAGATGAAATAGAAGACCTTCAAGTCTGCTAATGTGTCAAGAATTTTCAACGTTCTTTTTTTTTTGTTCCAAGAAAAAAAGGATGAAGTCTCTAGAATGTTGTATTATGATGTTACATTAAAAGATAAATTATAGTAGAATTTTAGTCCTACTCGTTATACTCTAGAACCGACGAAGCAGCATCATTATAATATGTTCATTACCAGTAACTGATTTCACAAAAAATGCATCTGGAAAGATGTTGTTTCTCGATAGACTAGCATAATGGTGTATTACTGTTCAAGATTGCCTTAATTCTCTTCACACTCTATCTCAACTGTTAGACTTCTGATAAACAGATATGAAAAGATCATTGCTATCCACATTCGATTTGAAGAAATAGTGTAATTAAAAAGAAAACAGAATTGTAGAGAATATAGGTGTGGATTGAATGTGAAAAAAAGAGAATGGTCAATTCACATCCAACCGTAGAAATATTATTAATATGTTTGTTTCTTACGTTAAGATGTATCGATCGCATGGACAAAAGAATAATGATAGTTGACCAAAGACTGTCTAGATGTTACCAGAATATATCGAAATTAACCAAAACAAGTATTAGATACATACATATGATGTTACTTCAGTCTCTTAAAGATATGACATTCTTTTATGATTTCTAATTTTCTAAACAAAATTATTTCAAATGTATTTGACAACATTCACCGATTGTTTAGATTGCTTGTTTTTTGTGTTGTTTTGTTCAATATTCTTTATCTATTCATTTTCCTTATTATCTCGTTTCTTTAAATTGAATCGCAAAGCTTCATATAAGCACATTATTTCGCTTACATTTAGAATGAATTTGACGAATTTGAAGAAAAGTACGTATTGTTCATCGAAATAGTTTGATTTGCTGAAGTTCATCATTCGTAGATAGTCTATTGTGCACTAGAAAAATCGTTTTATTCGAGAAAAATTATATTCTATTTAAGATATTATTCATTTTGTAATATACCTTCTCGATAATTATTTAGAGAATTTATACTAAAAACTACCGGTATAAAAACTCACATGTATCTTGACATTTACTTTTTTTGATCAAGAAAACGAATTAAATTGTATCTGAAGATCTCACTTACTGGTTTTGATACCTACCATCTTGGAAGTGACTGCATAAAAGATGCCGAACATAATAGGTGAAGAAATTATTAAGAAGTAAGATCGGAAAGCATGTCAAATTTATCAACGTGCAAGAAAAAGAAACATCTATTTTTTTGTATATATTGTAGAATATTCAGCCGGATCCAAATCCTTATGTAACAAAATTACAACATTTTATTTGATATAAGCAATGTCCAATGGCAACAAGCATATAACGATTTAGAAGAAATATTAAAACAAGCAGAAGAAAGTAATACAACATTACACGATGCTTTTTTACGTGAAATTCATTTTACTGTGAAATCATTTATGGAACCACTGACTAAAACAATTGCACACTCATCAAAATAACGTTATACAATGCATCTTTTTGTCATGAAAATTGACTATATTTTTCCTATTGAACTGTATGTTTTATTTTTCTCACTAAATTTCTTGTATTGTTTTTTCCTGTTAAATTACCTGTATATTTTTGGATTTTATGAGTTTAGCTTTGTCAATCTGAACAGAAAATCGGAAAGAGTTAAAAATATGTACGACTATCATAAAAGTGAAAGAAAATCTGCCATTTATTGTTCTTAACGTTGGTAGAGAAGTACTTCCAATATGCGTTTTATAATATGCACATAAATGCAATACATAAATTGTACTAAGTTGAATATCTTTTGGATGATATTTTTGTTTTTGCAGGCATGAAAGACCTAACAATAAATAAGAGGTAGTATTTATTTCGCTATTCATGAAAATGAGCAGCATCGCTTATTTTTCGCTCAACGTCAGCCCATTTGTAAAAATACATCCTGGCAAATAATCAGATCAAAATTTGACGGTAAAGAATTGATCTCGCTATTGTGTTCGTGACTAAAATTGGAATTGATTCAATGTTGTTCAATCGAACGAAAGCGATTGGTAGATACTCTTCACTTAACCACTAAAAAAATCAGCAGCAAATAAGCTCATTATACATATTAATTATAATAAGTTACTTTATTTGAGAAAGGATTCAGGAATAGAGCTCCACAAAGAAATTAAGTGAACTTTATATAACTCTTAAGATTTCTGATACTAACCTTGTTTATTGAGTCTATCACGTCTCTTACACGCTAATACTAAGTAGCATAAGAAAACTCTTTGGAACTTCTATGGAATATCTTATAAAAAGGATATATATAGTAATGGCCACAATTATGAAACTGCCTCATTTATAAGAATTTATCATCTTTGCATTTACTCATTGAAACTTCTTCTAAACAACTCGTAAGTGGATTTCATAGACCAAAATTTCGTCTTTCAGAAATATGATCTATCCTTATTGTCTTGTTTAAAGTTTGAAGAAAAGATTAACTTTTCAAAAGTTGGCACATTTTTGCCTGACCTCAATTATAAGAACATCTCCTATTTAGATTCGACGTATTTTTTTTTGCTACAGCACTTTTAGCTTGTGAAGGAGTTAGTACAAGTGCGTTTTCTTCTCATGTGCATTGTCTATTAGGCTATCTTTGAAATCTGACTACAAATTTCTGATTTTTTGCATGCTAGAAGTTTTTTCTCTTAAAATCATGTAGTTCACATGGAATCGTCGTTGGAAATATGAAGAATGTGCCAAAGAACATAAGAAAGAATCAATCACTCAAATTTGTCCACATTTAGAACTCAATACATGTGCCATTTCACACATGAAAATCATAGGTTCTTACAATTGAGCAAGGAAAAAGGGACACAAAAAGACCTTCAGTAATCATTTGTGTCAGAGCTGTGTGGTAATGAATTAGAAAAGTCTCATACGATCAATGATCAGCTGCAGAGTGCTAAATGCAAAAACACGCTTTCCGACATGAAGCTTTTCGAAATACTTTACCAAAAAGTGAATATTGGTATTTTATGAATATTAATATATTCAACAGCTGACCATTGATTGTATGAGATTTTATGTTTGAATATCACACAGATCTAACACAGATGAATGCTGAAGATGTTTTTGTGTCACTTTTTCATGCTCAATTGTAAGAACCTATGATTTTCATGTGTGAAATGTCACATGTATTAAGTTCTAAATGTAGACAAATTCGAGTGATTGATTCTTTCTTATGTTTTTTGGCACATTCTTCGTATTAAAGAATAAAACGTAGATCTTGTTCCTTCTTCTATGGTGAATGCATGCGAAAAGTCAGGAATTTGTGGTCAGATTTCAAAGATAGCCAAAAAGACAATGCACATAGCAAGGAAATGTAGTTATACTAACTCTTTCATAAGTCAAAAGTGTTATAGCAAAGAACGTCGGGTCTAAACAGCAGGTATTCTGATAATTGTCGCTACTACTGTAGAACAATATCTGCTTCGTATTTCTGGCTAATTTTCATCAATCAATACATGATTTTTTTTTATCAGAAGTAAGAAGTTTAGTGTTTTTTATCATTTGAAATAATTATTATTTAACATACTAAAAAGTAGTAGGCTACTACTTTATTTTTCATTGCCTTGAAAAAGTCAAGAGAAATTAGTATCCTTACTTGAAGGATTTTTCCATCAGTTAGTTATTATTGCAGATAGTATAACTGAATGATGTACAATATGTACAAATTGTAAGCATACGGAAGCATTCATACTGAAAAACAGCATTGTAATTATTGTAAGGGATACGAGTTAATTCGATTCTGAAATAATGACACATGGTAAATGAAGTAGAAGATACAACTAGGAAACAAGTTTTACATTCAAGATCGTTGTTAGAGTCAACTGTTATGCTCTGCTATTCATTTTACTATTTATCACAAGGACAAGAATCAGTAGTAGGTCGATCATGAATTAGATTGTCTCAACCAGTTCCACATATGTTGAGCTCTTCATTATACGAATTTATTTTTGAATAGGAGAATTGTTTCACCATAGATGATGGAAATTGTCCCGTTACAGATATGTACATAGGGTTTTGCGAAGAAGAACTATCAAGACGAAAAAATTATTTTCACCGGATTGTCTTACAAAGATTTTTCTTCCTGAAGAGACTGAAACCATTCGATACAATCACAAAAAGTTTACATGTCTGAACTTCTTCGCAAACCTATTCATTTAGCATTCTCTGTTTTCTAAATGGTCCTATCCATTATGAATAATATTATTTTGTTCACAAGTGCATAATAGTTTAACTAGAAGTAAGACAATTTTCCACTATACTAAACTGTTATTTGTACTTCAACAATATATGGTTGAGTGTAAAATAATATGAAAATGAATACTGCCTAAAAATTACAAGAAGTCAAAGTTAAACTGAAAAATTAAATTACTTTAACAATGAATGCATCGTGCAGAAGTGTTTTAGCGTTAGCAGAATCGAAAAGTCAAATAAGTGAAGATTTCATAAAAACCAGAAATATTTAAAGAAAATAATTGAACAAATAGTTGAGAATGTGAATATATTCACCAAAGTTCACATTAGTATGGATCTTTCATGTTTATTGATTGAACAATACTGTATTTATCATGTATTAAATTGTTTGACAGACATTAGAACCATCAAAATGGCTCAATATGAATCATTTGAATATGTATTTTCCTCATTCTGAGCATTTCATACAGGTCAAAAATATCAAAGGCATCGTACAAAACTTAGATATATAAGTTCTACTGTTATAAAAAAAAAAGAAGAAGAGACAAAATGATCAAAAATATTCATTGAAAAATCAATGTATGAATCAGTGAGAGAGAAGAAATCGATATAGTATTTGCTAACCTTATTAATATAATATGTTACAGATATTGTTATTTAAATATAAATACAATTACTCATAAACTTTTTTATATAATTGACAATAAATTATATCGCATTTTTAACTATTTGACAGAAAAACATTTATTAATTTTACGATAGATTAAGTTAGAGAATTGAAGGAAAAGTTCAAAATTGATACAAAAAAAATAATAGTTCAAATTTTCAATGAATGCTGATATATTGGTTGTCTTTGACCTTAACTAAGACTAATGATGTTCGTTTCTCTTCTATATACTTATATTTCTGATAACAATATATCAAAAGACAAGAAGATCCTTCTATCATCAATAATAACATATTGATCTCTTTCTTTTTTTCCTAGCGACATTTTCTATTGTTTCTTTCTCTCTCTCTCTATTCAATTAATCGCATCTTTTTTTCTATGTCTTATATATATATATATATCAGCATATCTCTATGAGATATCTAATTTATCCTTGATCTCTATTTCTTCAATCAGTTAACATATTTCCATTGTTTGGTAAAAATGCGTCCAGCTTATGCAGGTCCAGGTTCCGCAGGATCACGTTGGAAGCCTACTCAAGATCCAGGAAAATTGGCGGGTACTTCAAATTCAGGTGGTAACCGAACCAGTGGAACTGATGCAAACTCAGCATCGAAAGGTGGAAATGTACAACATGGTAGTGGTGGAGAAAAAAAAGAATAAATATTTTATTTGATATGGGTTGTAGTGTGAACTTTTTTCTGTGTTTTATTATTTGATCATTTAGAATAAAAACCTGTAGCTTAGAACAGTTATAACACAAATATCCATGTACAAATCGTTAAAAAAAAATACAATTCGTGTTGAAAATTTCCTAATAAAAATGATTTATTTCAGTAGATAGCAAGAATTGTGACGATATTGTTGATAATCCCATTATCAATTATTCATGTTAAAATAATTATATTGAGATAAGAAACAAAAGATTAGAAGATTAGAAAGAACTTGAATGATATCGTATTTGATTAGATATCTTTTTTGTTTGTATGATGCTGATATTTATGTAACTCTATATTCAACCATTTTCTTAGTTTGATTGGTTTTTTTGTTCCATAGCAATTTACTGAATTATTATCGTACTTTACTCTTAACTCCTTTATTTGACTATCTATCCTCTTGACTCTCCCATGATACTACTGGTCTTTCTCTTTTATAATCTTTTGCATCATTAACCAGGCATAAAAAGAACAACAAAGTATGCCATAAAATACAGCTTGGAAATAGAAAATTCATGGTATTATGTTATAAGTAGATTATCACTCAACGGTAATAGTTAACATTAATATAATATATATTTCCTAAAACTAAATAATATATTAATTTATCGATCAAAACTTTATTGCCTGATATATAATTGATCGATTGAGGATGGTTACTTTTTATGATTAATTTTTATCTTTATCATTTTTTTCTTATGATAATAATTACAGTTGATTTGCTTGTTTTTGTAAATATTCATTTCTGAAAGTATAGAACACAACTGTAGAACAGATCAAGAAAATTAATCTATGTTTTTCCAGAGTAAATAAAATGTCGTTTGTTTTTTGTTGTATGCAATATCCTCTGTGTTATACAAACTAAATCATGATTCATGATATTTATTCGATCATGACAATATAATCGTTCTATTCATCCAGTTGAATAGAATTCATTAAATATTAACTTGTTGTTTCAATATTTTCTATCTTAAAATCTGTGGCAACATTATCTATATGAAATCGAATCTGATCTCTAAATAATGAATAAAGAAATTGAATCATATTTCACTATTGCTAGGAAGACTTTGAGAGAAACTAACATGTCGATCTTTCACAAATAAATTAATAAAAAACATAATTTTCATTGAAAAACCTATACAGTTTAGTCACTTATTAAAAACTTAAAGCAAAATATGTGTTCATAACAACTAAACACATGATGAAATTCAATTAGAAACTTATTTTAATGTTAAAGACGACATATAACGATGAGTTTAGTATTAATTATTATTAATATATATCGTTAAAGATTTTCTTGCATCTGTCAATATGAGTGTATTGCAAATTTGTGTAACAAAAAATCCGAAAATAATGAAAACAAATATAAAATACAATTGATTGAATCATTTTTATGTGATAGATTGATTCAAGAAAAAACTCTAATTCGACACAACAATAGTTTATTCATTGAAGTTATAATAAAATAAAGGCTTAGCAAAATAAACTAAATTAGATTAGTTGATTATTTTGAATCGAATTCAAAATCTTGAAAAACTATATTTACATTCAGAGTCATTTATGGAATACGAATTTGATTATAACAATATCTATTTCTTTGATTTACGATTGAAAATAATAAATCGAATAATATTTGTTGGTCAAACTATAAACTTCACATCATTTGTTATATGATTAAGTAATTTATGCTGAATATCTTATAGATTGACGTTAATATTTGCATCTCTATGTCTATATCATATAAACTTAACGAATCATTCAATGAATTAAATTTCATAATATTTCTTTTTCTATTTCAGTAAATATATCCATAAACGATATTTATTTAATAATGTATTATTGAATTTCAATACGTTTTTTAAAATTCTCAACAATAATTACATTCATAGAAATCTATGAATTGACTTTTTATTTCTTATATTTACTTGACAATTACAAAAATTATTAAGTAATTCTAATAAATATACTAAAATTTGTTTTTATTTTATCAATAAATGTAAAATCATATGCAGATTGTTTATTTATACAGATATTAATCTGATAATTCATGTCAATAAGCAAGATTACGAAATAGAACCTAATCGGAAATTTGTAAAGAATAAAATACATTTAATTGATTTCGTGAGTGCTCATCAGAAAAAAAGAAACAAAATATAAATGCAAAAATATGTAATTGATGTAGTCAATCTTTATATGATTCTCTTCCTTACGTAATGAATATTGATATAAGTAATAGAATCAATCAAATGAAAAAATTCGTCATATTCTATTGTTATTTCTTCAGGATGTTGGATATTAGCGGTTAAAATTTGGTACGATTTCATGATTTTATTTTCTTATTGATATTCTAAATTTCATTTTACAATATTATAGAAATTGAGCTTCGACTAAAACGAATATTCATCTAAACAGATTTTATTAATAAAAGATAATTGTGTATTGATGATTTAATTTCATAGTTTTTATTTTGTCTTCTTAAATTTATCTTTTCTATTCTCTAAAAATTAGAGTATTCGGAATATTCAGTTTTATAGAATTCTTAAACCCTTGATCAGAAGTAAATCTATGGAAGAAAAAAAAAAGAAGACTGTTGATATTATTTTGTATAAACTAAAGACATTAATAATCAATGTTATAAATGTTTATTTTGATTATTATTTATTCAATATCTTACAAGAAATTCTAGAATAACTTTATGAAATAATAAATTCTATACAATGTACTCAAATAGATATAACTCAATTCATCTAAACATGAATTCTAGAAGATCGTCGAATTATTTTAAATTATGTCATTAAGCATATTTCTTCAATAATTAATCTATATTTTTTGTTTTTATTTAACATGATTTGAATATATTATTCATGATGAGTTAAATTATAGAAAAGAAATTCATTTTTCTAAATGAATATCATACAACAATTTATTATATCTCTCAAATAACTATTCGAAATACAAAGATAAGATCTTTCATTCTACAAAACAAAACTATCTTTTTTTATTCAATTTAAATTTTAGGTGAACAATTGCATATCTAATTTTATTTAAACTAAACGAAGAAAATAGTTTGATGTCTATCAACAACTATTGATTAGTTTTAAACAAATTGATCAATATTTATACAAGCAACAAGATGAATATCAATGATATATATTTATTGAAATAGTTTTAACAATTAAATTAATGATCACCGTTACTCCTTTCGTCAACAATTATTTTTATGGGTTTCATTATGTCTGAAGTAGTATCTATCTATCGAATACAGTTTCAGATCAAAAAGAATTGTCTTTAAACATTAAAAAATTCTAGAAGAAATCATATTCTTTTTTTTTCAATGGTTTCGATCGAAAGAGCTTTCGGTATTTTTGTTCTCTTAAACAAAATAAAAAATAATATTTTTCAAAAAAATCCAATGATAAAAGTTCTTGAGAAATGTTGAAAAACTCTTAAATGAAAATAATCTTTATTTTCTTTTTAATTTGCCTTGTATTAATGATCATCAAGGATTTCTTGATAATCGAATAGAGAAATAGATTCTAGTTTTTTTTTCGTGTTCTTAGTTTATTAATATAAAAAAAGAAAAGTTATTTATTTGAGGGAGGAAGAAAAATATGTTTCTTAGTAGGTATATCTTGTTGAATTCGATCAAATATTTGTGGATATATAGATTTAAGTGTTTTTGTCGAATCTACTGGATTTGTTGGTGTTTTTAATTTCTCAAGTGCTTGAACATATTCCATATGAAGACGACGCATTTTCTCAGTTGTCTGTTGAATATATGTATCTAAATCTAAAGGAACAGATTCCGATTCCGATTCAACTGATGATGGTTTTTGAAGCCAATGTTCTTTTGAATAAATTGTTTCTGTATTAAAAATACTCTTTGGTACTTCTGTTGTTGTTAATATATTTTTATCATTATTTACTCTAAAATAAAATTAATTTAATAATAATTATTATTTTTTTCATTTGAAAAACAAAAAATAAAATAAATATACATACGTTTTATTTGTATCATTTATTTTGACATATTGAGATTCATTCATTGGTTGAATATTTGATGATGATTTGAAAGCATTTATAGGCATTGAAAGTAATTGACTAACTATGGGAAGACGATTTGATGGTTCATCTTCTTGTTGAACTGTTGTTTCAAATAATGGTAATTTATAATTATTTGATGATGAAGCTATGAATGCATTAACAGGTAATGAAAAAAGATGAGTAACCATAGGTAAACGATATTTATTTTTATCTTCTTGTTTATGTTTAATATGATTTGATTCCGATAACCAAACATTTGTTGGTAAAGTTTTTATTGAATCAACACCAGTTGAACATACCTTTGTTGATGAAGAACTATCAGAAAGAGATTTCGAAGCAAATATAAATGAACCTTCTTGTGTTGATAAATGAAGAGAAGATATTCCATTAATTAATCTATCTATCTGTTCACAATCAGGTGCTAATAAACATGGTTCAGCTCGTTGTAATTCAAGTAATTCTTTTTCTTTAGCATTTAATTTAGCTCGCAATATACTGAATACTTTTGATACATCCTTAAAAACATAAAAACAACAATATTATCGTATTTGCATATATATATAGAACGAGAAAAACAATATTTGCATTTGGTATTAAGGATTATTTTAATAAAAGAAAAGTTTTTGTTAGAATCTGAAGAATTATTATTCTTCTCAATAATCTTCATAGATCTATATTTACTTTATGTTTTTTGTTTGAAATATGTGACATTTTCTAGCGACCTCTTAAACATGACAAATTATATCGATTTTTAGTTTTTCAATTCAATATTTGAATATTTAGTTGAATTTAAAATAAAAAGATTTTCTTTTATAAATAAAAAACTGATAAAACTTTTCTGAAGAGTAAAATAAACGAAAATATAAACATTCTAAAAAAAGAAAAGATATAATTAAAAAAAATAAAACTAAAAATACTTTTTGACTTTGTTGTGTAGTATCCATGTTTGAAGCAGCTGATGTTTTAAATGAAGAACACTCTTTCTCAGTTATTGGCATATTTATTTACTTATTTTAGCCCTAATGTGTTTCGCCCTGTTATTGCCTTGTTCTTCGATAATACAACAAGGAGAAAAGGAAAAAAAAATAAATGACGACGTTCTTGACCCGTATAAGGGCATACGATTTACAAAGAAAGAACGAAGAAAAAAAAAAGAAAGAAAGAAAGAAACAAACAGAATTTTAGAGATTACAACGCAAAAAGGTTTTATGTAGGCGTGCTTGTTGTAATCATTTTATTTTAGTACATTTTTTTTGTTTTTGACAAATTATTTTCTTGTTTAACGTAATATTTATAGATGATTTTGACATTTTATTTGTAAAATAAAATTATTTTAATAAATAAATAAAAACAAAATGAATTTATCATTGGTTTATAGTTAATATATAGAACTGATTAATCTGAATGATTGAAAATTTTATTTATTGTTAAGATTTTTCTTTCATCGATTGATCTTTTGTAAAAAGAATAGTATTTAAACGAAAAATTTTTCGATTTCAAGAAAAATCAAAGAGTTTTCAATGAATAATATCTATTGATAAAGTTTTTTAACACATAAGAGAGAATATGATCAACATCAGTAGAATTATTTGTTTATCTCGTATTTTACTTGTTTTCCTTTTCTTTCAACTATTATTGTCAAATATTTCCGAATATATATATAATATATTGTTTATAAATGTGTTTATGTATTAAAATACTAATATTTCGTTGAAAAAAGTTTGAATTAATTGTTATCTTAATCAATCAATTCAATATTTATGATTAACAATTTTTCTTCAGTGATTTCCAATTGATATGATTCCTATGGGATTATTTACGAACATTTATTATAATATATTACTCTTTCAATTTCTCTTTTGTTTTTTTTTAATGTAATATTAGAATTTAAATGAATATTTAATTTGATTGAGAAGAATTTTATTAAAATTTATATCTACAATGATTATTTGTTAATTCTATTTATAGCTCTATATATAAGACAGTTATAATGGTATACCATACTATCACAAGTTTCTTTTTTACAATTATCAATAGATGCACTTTTCATCAGTGACATCTATATTAAAATCTTTAAGTTATGATAATTAAATACAAAATATTTAGATATAATATAATCCATAACGGAAAAAGAAATATTATTTTCATATGTTCATTAGGGCTAAAAAGATTTTCAGTATAAAAATAAAAATAGATGTTTATAGAAACTGACTCATAAGAGGAAGTGTTCTATTTGATAATTGATCTAAATAAAAAATATTTCTATACCTAAATTATTGCATAGAATCGATTATTTCGAAATTATGAGTAAAATACATAAATGATGTAATAGAATCTACAAACAAGGTATGAGTCATTTTGGCTTTGTCAAGATATTAAAAAACCAAACAAATCGAAACCAAAAAAAAAAAAGAAAGAAAGAACACGATGAAGCAATAACCCTTTTGTTGTTACGTTAACCAGACGAATAAAAGATAAAATTTCTCAATCTTACTCAATTGATAGATAAAAAACAATTGATTCTGAAAAATTCAATTAAAAAAAAGAAAACCAATGTCATTGGAAAGATTAGCAAATGAATTATTCTTAGATATATTTGAATATTTATCCGATGTTGATTTATTTCATGGTTTTCGTGAATTAAATATTCGTATTGATAATCTTATTATAAAACATTTTAAAAATCATAAACATATTGATTTTCGTTTAATATTCAAAGAAGATTTAAATATAATTCGTCGAAAATATCTTCCATTATTTATAAATGAAATAAAATCAATTTATCTTTCTGATAATGATACAAATCCACATGAACTTGATATATTTATATCACGTTTATATCCACTTTATCGATTTGAAAATCTTCAATCAATAAAATTTTATAATATTTATTCAATTGAAAAAATAAATAGAATTCTTAATGATTTAAAACATTTATCTTATTTAACACATCTTTATTTAAAACAAACATATATTAAATATGATCCAAATATAATTCTTATTATGATGAATAATATATGGAGTTTATCTTATTTAACACATTGTTGTTTAGATATTTTTTTTGAAGATATTTCTCATTTAATACCTCCAACAGTAATATCATGTACTCTTAAATATTTATCAATATCAGGTGTACAATGTGATTTAGATAATTTATCACTATTATATGAACATACACCATATATTGAATATATATATATTAATTTATGGGATCCATATAATGATCATTATCAATTATCTTTAATACCTTCAGTAACAATATTGAAATTGAAATGTCAAAGTTCATCAAGAATAATTCAAGCACTTTTACGAAAAATGCCAAATTTAATTAATTTAACAGTTGAAACAAAAATAATTCAAATCGATGGACATATGTGGAAAGATATTATTGAAAAATATTTATTACAATTAAATATATTTAATCTTAAAATGGAATTTGAAATTATTGATTATGATAATATTGAACAAGAAATTGATCGAATTATTAATTCATATAAAAATCAATTTTGGATTGATAAACATAAATGGTTTGTTAGATGTTTTTGTTATACTGAAAATGAAAGAAGTTTTATTCATCTTCATACATTACCTTATGTTTTTCAAAATTTTTCTATTAATATTAATGAAAATTTTTTATTTAAATCAACTTCTCAACAAGATAAACATTATTTAACATATAATTATGTTCAAGATTTAAAATATTCATCTACAACATCTGAACATATTTATTTACCTAATATTCTATTTTCAAATGTTCGACATTTAACATTAACACTTCCACATGATGATCATTTACGATTTTTAGTTCCTCGATTTAATAATTTAATATTTCTTGAAATACGAATGAGTACTTGGGAACATTATGATAATGATTTAATTCAATTACAAACGTTACTTGATCAAGCACCGAATCTTTATTATCTTAAATTTCATTCATGGTTATCAGGAGTATCAAAAGCTGAAAATAAAAATAAAAAAGTAATTATCAATAAAAACTTAAAACTTAAATTTTTCATTTCGATTTTATATGATTTTAATTAGATTAATATCATAGATATGAGTAAAACAAAAATATTAAAGTAAATCGAGAGTGTGACTAATATTCATTTTAAAATTATGCAAGATGCACTAGAGATCAAAATTCAAGATTTCTTATAATGAAACGTGGGAACACTTTCCTTTCGTAGATTAAATTAATTCTATACAAGTGTAGATTGTTATGTCAAATATAGTGTTTTTGCTCACAACCATAGATGTTCGTTCTTCAGAAATTTTAAATCATTCTCTGAAAAATAAAATCTTGATAAGAAAAAAACTGTCATCAAGTGGAAAAAAAATTAAAAATTCTTTGTTAATAATAATTAATCTCTTAGCCATATGTACGTTGTTAATTATTTTAAGAGACGACTATATATTAATATTGTGTAAGACAAGGGGGAAACGGCGGATTCCCGGGATTCCGAATCCCAAGGGAATCCCATGGGAATCCTGGGAATCTTGGAAATCCTGGGAATCCCATGGGAATCCTAGGAATCCTGTGCCTAAGAGTCATCAATAGATAAAGTAATCATCAAAAATAAACAGGCCAAACATACTAGTGATGACAATGATGACGAAGAAGTCGACTCAGAACTTGGAGAATTAGAACAAGACTCTCAAAATCAAGGGGGAAACGGCGGATTCCCGGGATTCCCAGGATCCCCACGGGATTTCCAGGATTCCTACGGGATTTCCGGAATTCCCATGGGATTCCCATGGGAATCCTGGAAATCCCGTGGGAATCCCGGGAATCCGGTATCCGCCGTTTCCCCCTTGGTGTAAGACCTCAAATATTGATCATACGTTGTATTATTTGATATTCGAAAATTAATTTTAGACTTCAAATAGAAATGTTTGGAAAATGCCACCATTTTCGAATCGAAGTTCATCTGTTCGTTATCTTGATTTACGAGGATTTAATAATTCTGGTGATTATCAATATTATAATGATCAACAATGTTCAGCATTAATTCGTTCACCATTAGGTAATCAATGTGAATTTCTTGTTATTGGAGTTGAAAAACGAACAAATATAATTGATCTTGTTAACAAAATGAATCATCTTCGAGCATTGAATGTTCGTTGTTGTGATAGAAAAAAAAATGATGATGAATTAATTAAATGGTTACAATCACGTTTACCATCAACATGTTCATTTGCAAAAGATTCAAGATTTTCGAATGATATTCGATTGTGGATTCGTTAAAACAATAAACACTAAAATTAACCAGTCGAACCAATAAATTACGTGATGATTTCATCACAAACTTAAATAGTTTTTTTTTCAATTATTTATTTTTGATTAGAATTATTTAACATGTGAAACTGTGTTTTTTTTTGTTTTGGCAAAAAATTGTCATGATGATTTGATTTTTGAAAAAAATTTCAATTAATTGTTATGGAGAATGAATTTGATATCTAATTCAAAGCTAAGCTATCCAAAACTAGATGAAATGAATGACAAAACGAAAGGAACATAGCGTAACAAGATGTTCTATCATATCCATTCCACTTCAGTTTTGATTAATGTTCAACGTCAACAAAAACAAATTAATTCATTCGCAGAGTTTCAGTTCATAAAAATGGTTACTCATAAAAGGAGGTCTTAGTAGATATCCAACTTTTTGATCTCTTCTTTCATCCGTATGTGGCAATGTTCGCTTTTGACTGAGCCTTGTCTATAGTAAGGGTTATGATAATTTTTCAGTGTCGAGTTCAAGGAACTTCTAAAATTTTATGCTATATCAACATAGTAAAATCATTCTCTTGAGGCAATTCAAATTAGATCGTATATAATATGACGAATATGAAAAAATAATATTTATATTTTTTAGATTCAATGAATATAATCAACAATCAAGATGATAGTCATTAGTCTTTTTACAGTAGACAGATGGGACGACTACGAGCATAAAAAGGTTGAAAATAGGTCTCTGTTTGTTAGTTTTTCGTAGCTTTATTTTTGACTATTTTCCCGATATGTCTAGATCATTTAACCAGTATGTTGTAACATTCATCATTCTATGTGACATCTAGTTTGAAGTGCCTTATGAAAAAGATTTTCCTCTGTTGATATACCGTAAAATTTTAGAAACTTTTTGAATTCGATACTGAAAAGTTATCATAATTCTTATTATTCAATATTGATAAATCGTATGTTATGTTTGAAGGAGCTCTTCATTTGATATAAAATTTATTGTTGGTGTTGTTTAAAATCATAGCGTTACTCCTGTGGAAAAAAATTTTTTGCACATCCTGTACAATTTAAGTAAACTCTACAATATGACACTCTTAAGAAATTATTGAAATAATAAATACAAGTGTTATATTATATTATTGATCTAAAAAACAATCAGAAATAAAAAAATTTCTTTTACAAGAGATTTATATAAAGAAACTCGTTTTGATATAGAACATAATTCACCATGTATTGATTTAATTATAAATGATCCAAATATGCGAGCCAGAAAAATACTTGAATTATTTGAAAACTTTGTTTTAAGGTTTTTTTTTGTCTTTTCTAGAAATGCAATATGGTTAAGTCAAATTAGGAACACTTTGTCCAATGGTTTTTCATTTTCTTCGACACCTTGATCAATTTGTCTTATCACGTCTTCATGAAAATGTCTGTATTTTTAATTTTTGTATTATTTTATTTATATTTAATAAATTAGATCTTCAGAATTGATCATCTATCAGTAATATTAAATAAAAACCAATATTTGGAATTATTTCTGTATTTGTTATGAATATTCCCGTTTATGGAATTAAAAAACTATGACAGTAGTCTTATTAAAATTAGTTATAATTTCACACCTAACCGCTTGTTGCCATAATATAGAGAATAAAAGTGATAAATATCACGATTTGTATTCTCACGAGAGAAAGTCTAGTTATTTATTTAGCGACTTTCATCTTAATGAAATACTGAATGATACAAAAATCTATTCTTTCGAAACATAAATAAAATTGTATAGCGGTATTATTTAAATTGTAAGAAAGTTTTTGTTTTCTTTTTCATTTAATACAATTTTTTTTCGAACTTTGTTGTATTAAAAGAAAATGACTATTTATTTTAAACTATTCAATATATTAGCGCTATTGTACTTTAAAGTATAAGCCTACAGACACTCTGCAAAAACTTTTGCAACCTTGACCCTTCCGTGTCCTACAAAATTTCCGTCTTAACTTCTCCTGAGCTATCCTGTAACTATAGAAATGAGTGTGTATATTTAAGACACAGTCAGGTCAAACAAAAATTATTTTTTCTCTAAACAAGACCTCTAGACTTTCGGCTACTTTCCTATCCGAGATAATGAATACTTTAGTTCGACTTCTGCAGCATACGTTAATCTATTATTTTACTTGTCTACTCAGACTAAAGTTGGCAATTTTTCATATTAGACGATTGATGTGCTAGGCAGTTGTCTGTCCGTTCGTCGGTTCTAGAATCATTCTATGAAAGGTCACTATTAGTAAGACAATATGCTCATTCTATTATCTCCTCAAGTATATACTACAGTTGAAATCAATTTTTAATTTCAAACAGATCACGTTTTTGAAGAAGTAGGGCAAAACCTTTTATAACTACTTAATCAGTCATTTGTCAGTGTCAATCGAGTTTTATTTTGTTTCAAAGAGGAATCTTTTCAATGGAATTGTTACATTCGAAAAGAACATTAGCTTTGAAGGATAGTCCTAGTTGCTGTTTTTTCCTCATATAACAAAAGAAATAAACGACAAAACATTCACAATCACATTTACACATTCTCTAAAAAAATTCCGAATGTGTATCACGGCTAGTAATATCGATACGAGAACAAAATGAATTACAAAGTGTGATTTTTATACATGATTTCATATTTTTAGGCTTCTAAATACCCAGATGATGTTACAGTTGCATGAGATAGTAATTGGCACCATTTCTACAAAAAAAGGAATAATTGTATATATATATATGTAACGAAAACACGAACTAAAATAACTAACTATCAAAACCTTCTGACAGTTGGATAAAATTAAACCAGAAATGTTGGAAATTTTGAAATAAAGAACTTATAGTTTACAACGATATTTAACTTCTGATGACTAAATTAACTTTCCATGACCATAATGAATACATTCATTATGATCTGAGAATTCTTTGTGCTATCAAAAAGCATGAGTTCAAAGTCAAAAGCTACGATCTTGATGATAGTGAACGTTTGTGAATTGAAAATTTTCGTGCTTATATTTCTGATGCATCAGAACCGTGAAAATTGTTGAAAAAGAATGAGGCTAGTTTTAACGACTTGAAAATTGTTTAGAATAACTAGCAGTAATCAGATGAAAACTGCCTGTTTTCAAAACTTCAATAGAATTGTGTCATTAACCAGCAAACCAGCCGGTTTCGTGCCAATGGCCAGTACAGATTCCAAGTCTAGTAGAGAACTGACCAACCTATAGAGGTGCCCATCTTACGGGGATTTGCTGTATTATGTAAATTAACAATAAAAATTGATATTATCATTTACAGTAAATATCCCCATTAGAATTACTAATGTAATGATATTATATTTCAATATTTTGCAAACAAACGCGAGACAACGACGACCACTACACCCATTACAAGGGCAAAATATGGAAGTATTCCAGCACGGTTCGTTACACTTTTCTCGTCATCAATATCGGTGTTGTCCGTTATCGAAACAGGAAAGTAACCTTTGTCTTGAATATAATGACGAATTAGAAATACTGGAATGATGAAGGCGGCAAACACTAAACCTGTAACCAGTGCTCCAGTTCCCCATGTATCTGATCCCATGCCAAGAAATACAAGATTAACATAGCTAAGTATAACACTAATAAAAACCAACCAAATAGGTGCCTTGAATGGTCGCTTCCAGTGTGGATGGTCCATTCGATGAATCCATACAGCATTCAAATTCATGAAGATAAAGATTATGTATCCAACATTCGAGGCTGCCAGAACAAACACGTAGTCCGACATTAGCAAGAGGGCTAGATTAAAAATGAGATCAGTCCACATTGCAGCTGTAGGTGCGCCATGTTGATTGACATGGGACAAGAACTTTGGAAGCCAACCATCAACAGAGCCCTGATAAAGCGTGCGTGAAGAGCCTGCCATTGCAGTCATAGTTGAAAGCAGAAGTGATAATAACAACAGCACAATCACAATATTAACCACTACCTTACCGCCTCCGATCATCTCGGCCATTGCCTTAGCAACTCCCATTCCATTATAGATGCCTGGATCGAGCATTCTTTTAAGGCCAAGTGTCCCTTGAAATGTAAATGGAATCAATGAAAAGACGAACAGACACAATAAACCGGAAGATAATATTGCCTTGAATGTATCCGATCCTGGATTTTTGAATTCACTTGTGTAACAGACAGCTGTCTCAAATGCATAGGCCGACCAGGCAGCGATAAACATACCACCAGCAAATGAAGTTATGCCTGCTTTATCCCAACTTCCAGTAGTGATATTATTTGTTGCATTTCGCATAAGTGGTGCGAATGGAATGAAATTTTTAGTATCTATTTTACCGAGGAAGAGCGGTACTATACCCAAAATGATTAGGGGTAGTAGTGACGAGATAGCAAACAACATTTGAACGCGAGCAGCCGAAAGAATGCCTCGATGTTGTATAGCAAAGACTATTAGCATCAATATTGCTCCGATAATAAAAGTTGAATTGATCCTTATTGATAGATCTGTTTGAATGAAATTAAGACTAACTATTCTAAATTGCCATGTATTAATCAGTGCATTAGAGTCAAACATACTGAGAATATATCCAGCACTTAGTCCAGTTCCAATAGTTAATACTGGTGACCAACCAAACCAATTGCACCAGACAGAAATTGGCGCCAACACCTTACCATAACGTATCCAGCCAATAGCTCCGTAAACTGATGCACCACCCGACTTATTTGGGAATAGTCCTGCGATTTCAGCGTAGATAAATGATTGCAAAAAACCAATACTGATCGAGAGTGTCCAAACAAACCAAGATGGATTTCCAACAGTTGCAGCGATAGCACCAATAGAAAAAAGAACAAGAGCAGGTACACCACTTGCTACCCAAAATGCATCCAGCCACGTAATCGATCGTATGAGTTTGTCTGTATCATCTACGGCAGTTGGTATTACCATTATATTTTGCTCATCGCGAATGTAATCAGAATCAGAGGGTACTTCTTCGACTGTTGCATCATGATTTTTATTTGAATGCTCCATATCATGTAAGAAATAATCTTGTGGTTATTTTTTATAATTTCTTATTTACAAAAAGGTGCTACTAACTTGAAAATATATATTGAAATTGGTCTAAAAGTAAAAATTTATGTGCACATCATTTCCTTAATGGGCGCTATGCTTTTCGCTATAAAACAATAGTTATGACATGAACAATCTTAAGGGTATTGATTGATCTAAAAACTGTAAGATACGGAGAGAAGCACACACCTAAAAAGACTAAAAGGGAACTACATAGACTAAAAGAAGCTAAGCGGACTAAGGTATTGAATTTTTCATAAACCCATGGTAATACCGTCTATTATTAAAAAGTCTTGTTTGAATGATGTTTGGTGTTTGTACTAAAACTATATTGTCAATTTTATCTGATACTACAGTGATTGGAGTTATGGTGATTTTCATTTTCATGAGAATCGGTCACGAAGAACCACTTATGAGACCGCTTAATTATGTGGTTTTAGTGCATTGTGTTCTTCATCTTTTTTGACTTATATCTTGAACGATATTAAAAAATGACTAGTTTGCCTATTTCAGTTCCTCATTGCCTAGTTTTTCAATTTTTTTAGCTGATTTCCGGGAAGAACTGCGGAAAAGGAAAATATCTTCTCTTGCTTGAAAACGAAGCTATCAACATTTCTCTATACTTCCGCAGTAATGGTATGGATATGAGGAAAGCTGAAAAATCATATTAAAGATGCATTGCTCTTGTAGCACTCTGGTGAGTGGGTAGGTATAGGTGTCGGTGTCAGAAGTAATTGTGTTGTGTAGCTTTGGGCTGTTTCTACGTTTTTGATATTATGGTACTGAACAGAGTATCGGGCACAAATATTAGCAGCAACTGAATTCAAATTTGCAGCCAGAACTAATTGCTTTCTTAGGAATTCTCATCGTGCGTCTTTGACCTAAGATCGCACGATTAAACTAAAGAAAATTGTCCTTATCTACCTCTTTTTTTCGACGAACACTAAAGAAAAATGTCTCTATTCTCTTTTCTCATTCTGTTTTATGGTTTGCGTAAGATAAGATAATAACTATTATGCTTCGTGTCTTGCAAGCCGCAAGGCCGTATTGAAAGAGAGACTGAGTGACACAAAAATAACCTTGAAAGTCACTTGTGTTAATTCGATAAGCAACATGGGTTGTTTATGACTGATACTCAACATTGTACTAGAGTGAAAATATCGAGATCATTTTAAGCGAATGGATTGTTATCTTTTAAGGAAAAGTAAAAATTCATCATGTAAGATCACATTTTCAGTCATTCAACGCATACATAATGTTTTTTCCGTCTTACAGAATCATGAAATATTTGTTGAAGGTAACTTCAAGTGATACTGTGAAATGAAGTTTTTTTGTAATTCGTTGTATTTGAAATAAGAATTCGACGTATTAACTAATTAGCACCGTTGGATATGTCTTCAATAGACACTATTCATACGACGAGAGATTACATTTATGAAAACAACTGCGAACGAGCTATCTACACTCACTACTATCTCAGCTCGACGCGTAACATATTTGCTTGAACTGCACATAATAGGCCGCACAATATCGATTTTAGGATAAATACAGTATGGAGCTCAGATGGAAAAACAACAACGGTAGTCGCTATCGTTTTACTAGTCACAGTAACTCAATGTTGCTGTGGCATCAGTTTGACAGACTACGTATTAAATAAAAAAATTTGGATAGATGTAATGCTTTGTGTTCTGCGTTTAGAATATTTGAATTTGAATCAATACTCTAATGTTTTAGTCAATAATAAACAAGAAAAATCTTGATGATGACAGTTTGAATTGAAAATTGTAGTACCCAACATATAGCGAGCATGCTAGAAGTGCAACAATTAACTTTGTGTAACTGATATTTCTCAGATGAACAATATGAAAGGTGATAAATCATTAATTCAGAAAAAAAATGCTGCTTATTTCACTTGACACTTTGACTCATGCGCGCTGTTAACATCTGACATACAGCGATTGAATGTATAAAAGGTGAACAAATGGAGTGATAGCTATCTCTTTTATTGCGAGAGAGAAAAACAGCAATACGTATATTGCTCAACATGCGTGCAACAGTGCATGAAACTATTTTTTGCCGTTTCTCTACAGGCGATAGCGATTGTAATCGATTCTTAGTCGAACCATTTCAGAGTGTAGGTGTGAGTGTAGTTGTAAGTGTAGGTGTGGGTGTAGCTGCGGGTGTAGGTCGAGGTGTTGGCGTGGGTGTAGCTGCCGGTGTAGGTCGAGGTGTTGGCGTGGGTGTGGGTATGGATGTGGGTGCGGGTCTGGCTGTGGCTGTGCGTTTGGGTTTGGGTATGTGTCCATCGTTCATTTACACCCACACCCACACCCACACCTCACCTCACACCCACACCCACTCACACCCACACCCACACTGACACCCACCCACACCCACACCCATACCCCCTCACACTCACACCCACCCACACCCACACCCCACACGCACAGCCACACCCACCAGTCTGTAGAATACTTCGTTGGTGTTGTAATAAATGGGTTCTTTGTTGGTTCTTCTCGATCATGACATATTGTATGCCGCTGCGATGATTCAACATACTATTAATTCGAATAGCTCTTTCGTTTCGACTAATAATAATTTCTTTTTCATTTGATTTATCTTCTATTTTTCGTTTTTGCTTCCTGAGATAGATGAAGCGTTTTCCTATTCATTTCTTTTAGATGTAAATTTCTTTTATATTTTATATCTTTAGAGTTTATTTCTAATTTGAATAAGATTTTATACATGTCAATCAATCATATATTATTTCAAGTGTGCTACCAACATTATAAGATGACAAAAATGTATCGGAACTCAATGAATCATTTGTCTAATTTTAACTGTTTGCCGAAAAATATTGGATTTAGTTAAGTTTGACGTCGGTTTTCTAGAAGTCTTTCGAGTTCTGTTCGTTCGAATTCAGTTATCGAGTATGAGATCGAGTTCATTTCGATTTCATTGTTGCAAGAGCAGCTCGAATTTAATTCATCACGAGTACGATAGAAAGGAGCCGGTTTGGGTTCGATTCGGTTGTCTTCCACTTGAACTGAATTGTTATCGTTCGGCTCAGATCGGTTTGGTGCTGATGTTTCTTCCAAAAATTCATCGAGACAAATGTTGATTCTTCGACCATCTTCGACTTTTTCAATTGATGTTATTGTAAATGGAACATAACGTAAGATCAACACTTCTTCCTCATCAGGAAACTGGGAGAATTTTTCAATATTCAGTGCTGAACGACGCGGAGTGCCATAAATATTATAAGTTTTAAATACTGATATTTGATTTTCATGAGCACTTCCATAAAACATCTCCGCTACGTTTGGGTTCTTACTGGTGGATAGAAATGTTGTTGTTAATATTGTAGCACCCACTTTGTAATTTTCCATGAGTTTCGTATCCTTAAGAAGTACACCACGATACACTTTACTCTTTCGAACAAAGTACTTATCTAACTTTGGATGAAACAAAATCTGGGTAAATGCTTCTGTGTACTCCTTCGTAACATAAAGAGCCGGACAGTTCAAAATTGTGCAGTAAAGTCTTATAAAGTGATATGCGTTCGTAGCTAAATGATTATTGAGGTACTTGGTGAATTCTGCAGTGCAAGTGTATGCTTTAATGACGGACTCTGGATCATTTCGTTCACGAGCATCTTGCAGGTATTGTTTGATAATATCCCAATGCTGACCAGTATGCTTGAATTTCGAAAATGTTTCTTCAATTATATCTATGCTATCAACGAGATTCGAAGATTTGTTCAAATTTTCAAACTCCTGATGAAAGCGCCTAGTTATGTCGATAGCCTTATCATTTTTCTCAATTTTCAAGTGCCAGTCTGGCGACTCTGTCTTTATTGTTTCGCTTAAAATGTCATGGAGGTCACAATCACCAGCGGAATAGATCTTTTTTCGTAAACTTTCTCCGAGTGTTTCGGGTGGTGCTTTATATGCTAAATCTGATGACATCGACTGTGGATTATCTTGTTTTGGAAGTCGAGGATATAGCTTGATTTGTAATTGTTCCCAATTTGACACAAACCAGTTCCACAAAGTCATTTTGTGCTTTTTTTGATTCAGCAGATGAACAGTAGCTTGGGAGTTACCTTAATAATTTCCGGTTCGCATTAGGTTTACTGAAGATTTAAACATCTTGGAATGATGAGTATGACGTGAACTTGTAAGACTGCAATAGCTTCTTGTACTTCTAAAATTCCAAGTATAAGCATAGAAGTTATATTTAGAAAATTTTCTTTGATTAAATTATTCTAAAAAGTGCTCAAACTTGACGAGTCTTGTTTGAATATCGTGTGGATACAGCTGATGGATTTTATTCATTCTAGCAGTACTCCGTATGAATCGATTTTTTCATCGATTTGTTGCAGTATAGTGACGAAAAACAAAGATCAAAAACGATACGCACAATATTGAATTCCGAATTATTGAAAACAAAACTGTAAGCTATAGAGAGGACTGAAGTCCATTAGTAGTGCTATTCAAAACTGAAACGGAATTTACAACACAACTAACGTTTTTTTCAATTAAATAGATACTATTCATTAAATGAATTACTTTTTATTTTTCTGATAGCAAGTGGTCTCTATCTAATAAATGACTGTTTTCGTCAGAAAAAGAACGATCTATAACGAACAAGTTGCGTAGGAAAAAAGAGATTCCTATTCCTCATTCATTCATTGTTCTTTAAAAATACGTATGGTTGTCTTGAGAACTTCATGTTGATTCACTTGGTCATAACCTCAAATGCATCCAGTAACGCTGAAAGTACTACGAATCAGAATTGTCGGCGTTCTTTTGTCTACGTTGAGATGCTCGTCGATATTCAACTTTCAATAAATAAATAGATACTTCAACAACGAATCAAACCTGTGACTCAATACTGACTATTATGGTCAGCTTTCTAATTATTGTGCTATTAAAAATCGTCAACATACACTGAAGAAA